CTTCGAAAGGGTAGCTGAGCTTCAGGAAACACCTTGGTCTTCTTCACCAATGAAACCAACGGTTGCTTACAGATAAATTTTTGGCTTGGCTTGAGAGGCTTGTGGCATGGAAGCTAAGCATTCATGAGTTTAGCATGAGAGAGAGAGAGAAAGACTAGACTTTCTACAAGAAACCGAGGTTTAAAGCAAAGGATTTCATGAGAATTTGCTGAGGAGAGAGAGAGATAGAAATTAGGGTGAAAGAATGGGTGCTTTGGGTAATTTTCCGACAGCTTGACGAAAGCTTCGTCAGGCTCTGGAATGGCTTGCTAGAAGAGAAGATGGGAAAAGATGGAGGAATATGGCTCGAAATTGAAGGGATCCAAGGATGAGAGGTGATGCTTGCTCTCTCTGGACGTGTCTTGAGATAATGGGTAGAGGATACCCCCCTTTTAAAGGAGCTTCTTCCCAAGAAACTCTAATGGGTTCTCTCCAATTTTGCAAAGTCTTTCCTTTCATTTCTCTTCCCTTCCTCTAATTCATCCTAATTTGTGAAATCCTCATCTGTCCAAACACACAGAGACAAGATTTTTGGGAGCTCAAAAGTCTTCCCACAGTCATTCCAGTGGTAACCTCCCATCTCTGGTTATCACTTCTCTTTCTTTCCTCCTTATTTCATGGTAAGAGCTGGTAAATAAAGGAAATAGATAGCAGCGTTGGTCTGAAGGATGCCTTTTCTCCTAGCAACTTGCGCACGCTAATACCCTTTGGTCTTTTGAATGGTTTGTCTTGAGGTTTGCCTTTGGTCATGTGCTAGAGCTTCCCAGCAGCCTATGCAAGTCTCTATCCCTTGGTTTTCTGTTGTGGTTTTGTCTCTAGCCATGTGTTGGAGACTTTTAGATTTTTCTAAGTCACTTGGGCCATTCCCTAAGGTAATGGGCTAGTTTACGGAGGGGATTGGCCAACCTTTTAGAGTGATGGACTATTTTTTACTAAGGTGATGGGCCAATTTTCTAAGGTAATAGGCTACCTTTTTCTCTCTTTCATGCTTACCCACATATTTGGGCTAAATAAATGGGCTCGAGTTTTGGGGCTCCCAATCAGCCCAAAACTTCCATTTCTTGGCCCATCAATGGGTTTAATGAATGCTTGTAACCGTCCATACCACAACTTACTCAACAAGCCCCAGGCATTCACGTGGCTTGGGCTCACTTAAGCTTGTAGCGTGGCGTGTTGCTTATTTGCTTAGCGTGGCACGTGTGCAAGCGCATATGACAAACTCTTACGTACCCAAGTTGTGTTTTTTCCTAAGTTAGGTGTCGTACTAGGCTAGAAATATATTTGGGCTCAGCCTTGAATTTTTTGGGCCTCAACAAAGATTAATTGCCATTAATGGTGATTTAATCTGGACAAATCAGTTTCTAATTGGTTTAAAAACTAAGCCCAGCTTCTAATCTCTCCAAAGGATCAAAATTTGATCATCACCGTTGATCACAATTTCATAAATCAAGTCAGCAGATTTTTGGGAAGATCTCTCTCTCTCTCTCTCTCTCTACAAGAGCCCACGTGACTCTAAAGTCAAGATTTCAATAGGGCAGATGACGTGATAGGGAGTTGGTAGAAGGTTTAATTCGAAAATAACTCCCCATAACCATTTAATGCCAAGTTTCTTTCCTATGCTCATGAGGGCTTTGCATCAGGGCAAGTGGGGTTTATGAGAGATAAACAAGAGTAAGAGAGTTGGTTGACTGAAGATCAAAACTGATCATCATAAAAACTGACTTTTGATGAGGGTTTTCTTTTGTCAGACTAAACTACTATCCCTTTTTTCACGCTGGAACAAGGAATCCTCTCAACAGATCTATCCTCTAGATATTAAGGATTAAACCCTCATTCAGATTCTCTATAAATATGAGAGGGGTGAACAGGATTGAGGATAGCCAAAAATTCAATCAAAACAAAAACTCTCAAGTCATACTGATAAATTCAAAACAAGATCATACGATCTCAAAAGCCTTCAGACTCTAAAGTAATCAAGCTCTTTGATTTATAAAAGACATCCAGTCTCTGATAGAACAAGCAGACCTCAGGTTTCTGACTTCAATTTAACTTAAAAAAGCAGTTCACAAAGAAAACAAGATTTCTCTCGTTACAAATTTGGTTCAGCATAGGCCAATCAAGCAGAGTTCAGGCTTTTCAGGCTTTTCATAATATAAAAACCTTAACAAATTTAGAGAGATGCCTTGATGCCTGAGAATCATCAGAACAGATCGCAGGTGATCCACAATTAAGCAGAACAGGTGCTGAAGTGCAGTTTCAGACCAGAAATTGTCAATCCAGCCACTTCCAATCCAATCTAATCCAATCCAGACTGAAGAAATCCCAGTTCTGCCCATCCAACAAGGCTCTTTATGGCTAAAATAGATTAAAGGTTTGTCAATCTCAACATTGATATCGATTTCCAACTGAACCTCATCAATTGAAGGTGCTGACGTTTGAATCCAGCACAGACAGCCTGAGTCATAGGCAACAATCCAAGCAGAAATAGATGCCCAATGTTCTGTTGTCCTTTCAAACGTGGCAGTTCCCTTTTGTTTTAAATTGTGTAATAGGAAATTCTCTTTAAAACAGTTTTATTTATTTTTAATATTCATTTAGGCCAGAACTACTAGTTTTTACTGTGAGAAATTGTGAAGTCTTCACCAGTCTGAGACAAGAAAAGAACTTACTTGGGAGATATTCTTCATCCAAATTCACAATCACTTGTTTAAAGTCAATAACTTAGGGTGCAAGTTATCTATTTTTCATAAGTTTGTTAGGGTCTTGACAGCTAACAGTAGCACGTTGGCACACCAAAGAAAGTTGACTTGTTGACCACAAATAGTTTTCAAGTCAATGGGGAATTTTACCTTATCATCACAAGAATTAAATCTAAACGGGTGAACAAAAGTAAATAAGCTCTATAACATTGCAGAACAAACTTGTAAAGTGGTATATAGTAAAATGTAGGTAGTAAATTCATTTGACGGGTAAATTACTCAAATGGTCCTCAAACTTGTACTCGATTTACATTTTGGTCCCTCAATTAAATTATTAGTCCAAATGGTCCATTAACTATATATTAATCTCTCCATTAGTCCTATCGTTACATTCTGTCAATGTTGCTGTTAAATATGAGGGCAAATTGGTCATTTCGTACGTTAAAAAAAAAAAAAAAAAACTCTCTCTCTCTCTCTCTCTTCCCCCATGGCTACCACCCTTAAACTCCAACCCCCAAACCCATCCCACAACCACTCTCCACCCAAACCCATCCAACAACTACCCTCCACCCCAGGCCCCCATGAACCCATAACCCCAGCTCCCCTTCCCTTTTGATTTCCCTTTGTTATTGAGAGACAACCACCCATCACCCTCCGCCCCACCTCATCACCGGCCAACCTCACCTCCCAAAATCACAGCCATTGTCAATTTCTCACCCTCCAAGTGCACTCTCCTCTCCTCCCACCTCACCTCCTCATCTCCCAAACTACCCAAACTCTTTCCCCACACCCACATCTCTATACCCACAACTCTATACACACATCACCCAATAATCCCTCCCTCCACCAAAAGTTCATCCAGAAGCTTTTAGAACCATCATCCTACGTTCAAGAGCCTTCTCCTTCTTCCAATCCACCTGCCAAGTTCACACATTTGGAGCAGCAAGTGGTGGACCTCAATGGAGAGGTCTGTGGGGAATGGGGGAGAAGAAATCCAAGGGAGGGGGTTTAGGTCTCATGATTTTTTTTCTCTTTTTCTTCAATTATTTTCAAATTTTGTATTTATTTTAACCCTATTTTATTTGTTAATTATGAAAAGTCGTATTTACCCTAAAATTTGGTTAAATTTAATAGAAAATTAGACGGTAAGACCAATGGAGCGATTAATATATAGTTAATGGACCATTTGGACTAATAATTTAATTGAGAGACCAAAATGTAAATCGAGTACAAGTTTGTGGACCGTTTGAGTAATTTACCTTTCATTTGACTTGCCAGATTATAATTCAACAAAGTGTTATCTAATTTGGACAATTTTTTTTTTATAATTGCTTGCTAACTTGGAAGTCTCTTTGGAGGGAAAAATGGGGGATTATCTTGCGAAACGCTTTCCCGATGCTAGGATGATAGTTTTTTTCGCAGATAAGCTCTGGTTCAGCTATTCCATTAGCAGCTATTTTGTTGCAGATGTTGTCGGATGACCAATCAACAGCATTCAGGCATGGGCTGGTCTTGTTCACTTCCTGGAGCAGTCCAGCAACTAACAAGTACGTATCCTTGATCTACTATAGTCTTCATTTTCCCAATAAAGAAATTAGTGTGTCCATCTTTCGTAGTGACGCCGCGGAACAAAAAAAGGGAAGAGAAAATCAGTTGCATGGGGAATTATAACTACATGGTTCTCAAATCTGAGAGAAATTAATAGAGAAGCTTCCCAAAGCAGAAGCTGGACTTGGCTAATTGCACCTTCCTCCGTAAACACAACTCAAATATGAAAAGGATGGTGATGCTCTCATTGTCTTGGCAAATCTCCTTGGTCTCCAATTAGATTGGAGAACAGTTGGAGTTGTAATAGACAGACTGAGGTTAGAAACTAAGGATTGCCAAGGCAAGTAGAGTATCCAAATTCATATGAAAAAGCTTCATCGACATGGTAAAAGCTGGATTTTAATGTTTACAACCAAGATGTATATGTTAGTAACACCATCCCATCCCATGTTTTTTTTGTGGACAAATCCCATGTTTTAGTATCTGGATATTGTCTTTCCCATTTTCTCTAAGATAATGTAAAATATCAGAGACCCTATAAAAAGTTATTATTTTATTACTGTGTACACTGTCTACGTGAATGTACTAATAGTGTGTCTTCACTAATCAGTAAAAAGTCAAGGTAAATTATCAATATCGGGGGTCTCTCATAGCAAAATCATAATTGGACAAGACATGAAACAGCGTTTTGTATTTGCCCATTTGAGAAACAACTCAACATAAAACACTAACAATATCACTTGCCTACAAACTAATCAAATCATGGGTTCTCTTAGATCCTCAAAGATGACCAAAATAATTATTCCATATTACGCTATATTTCATTTTTGAAAAGAAAGCACCCACCTCAAAGATGCCCAAACTGACCAGTCCGCATAGCAAGGGAGACTGGGCAATGGATTTGAACAGAGTGAGTGAGCCCAACCCAGTTGGGTCCGTGTGCAGACTGGCCCCCATCTCTTTGTACACCCCTGGCAACAACGACTCGTCAGCTCTCTGCGTAATACTTGCTAGGTTCACCAACAACAATTTCACAACCTCTGCTTTCATTTTCCAATGTCTGTTTGGAGTGAAAACAGAGCACTCTGCTCGGTTATGGAGAAAGACAAATCATGTTTAGGGACAGAAGAAGAAGTTGACTAAAGGTTACTTTGGAAATGATGACCCACGTTGAATGTGGGACCTGGTATGCAAGATTTGGGCTTGTCTGACACGTGTAGGGTTGGGATTGGTGTGATTAGGCGTGGGGTGAATGGATGGAGAGTTGGGGATAAAAGATTTGGCCAGTCGGTTAGTTGATTCTTCTTGTCTTTGATGGAACTCTACACAGACGGGGTAGAGGGATCTTTTCCATCGGCTTATGATGCCGTCTCCAACCTTATGCAGTGAAGCTAGTTATTAATTAATTTATTATTATGTCACAGGCCAGCTTGCTACTTTTGGAACCTTCTAAAATTCTAAATTAGACATGGCCATGTTGAACCATATATACAAGGAAAAACAATCACAATTTCATCGGTTTTGCAGGAAAGGGGGAATATTCCAATGCTGTAACTGGGGAGGACAGCTCACCAATGTTCATGCCTGAGGAACTGTAGCCTAAGGAAAGCCTCTTGATTCCTCATAAATTGTCAATGAAAACCAATTCCAAGCTAGCCACCTAAATAAGTCAAATGTAGCACAATGGAAGATGGTCCAACCTTAGTTTCAGGCTGGGCATGGCTTCCAAGCAACATTCTGGATTTGATTCTAGAAAAGTTGATCCCAATTTCTGACTATATCCGATTTAGTGCAGTTTGCAAGCATTGGCAATCAGTCGCTTTACATCGCAAGAAGCAGCCCATCAAATCATGTCACAAGCAGATTCCTATGCTCATAATTCCCACCATAGACAGTAGCAGCGAAAGGCGTGGCTTGTATAGTGTGACACAAGGTAAGACTTGTAGCTTTGAGTTGAATGTGTATTACAGTAAGAGGTTCTGTGGTTCTTCCCATGGTTGGTTGGCTTGTGTGGATGAGAATCTGGTAGTAACCCTCTTAAACCCTTTTACCGGGTGTACCATTAGCCTTCCACCAGTCCCCAAATCCACTTGGAGATCGACGGTAGCTTATAGATGTGATTACTACATTAATAAAGTTGTATTGTCTGCAGACCCTTCTTTTCTTCCTAATGACTATGAAGTATTGGTCATCTATGATGGCTATGGGAAACATATAGCCCATTTTAAATCAGGGGATGATGCTTGGACTAGCATAGATCAAATGATCGGATTCGATGATGTAATTTATTATAAAGGCCAGTTTCTAGGTGTTAGTTTGGGTGGTAGTGTTTTTTTCGATGAATGTTAGCAGGGATCAAACTACTAAACCCCATGTAAGCTTACTTGTGCCAATGGATCCAGGCACAGACAATAAAACATACCTTGTGCAATCATCCAAGGGAGATCTTTTGCTGGTTTAGGAAGTTCAAACGAGTAAATTATTGTAAGCGGTTTATGAAGTCTCTCAACTTCAAGTTTTTCAAGTTTGAAAGGTTAAATTTTGAACAAGTAAATGGTTATGATCGTTTTACGGAGACTTGAGCTTCAAGGTTTTCAAGCTGTTCTGTGCTCATGGGGAGAGACCCCAATGGGTTGAGATTGAAAGTATTGGAAATGAAGCTCTGTTTTTTGGGTACCAATCAATCCATGTGTGTCTCTGCTCTGGAATTTCCAGGTTGTCAGCCAAATTCCATACTTCACTGATGATTGTGTGGATGTAGAATGCCATAAACCTAAAGGGCCTCATGACATGGGTATCTTCAACTTGGGAAAACAAAAGCATGGGAACACATTACTGCTTGGATCGTTCGCAGAAGCACATGCCACCAGCAATTTGGATCTTGCCCTCTATGGTGTGAAAAGATGGTTCCAGTTTTGTTCTTTCAAGCTCTATTTTCATTTGTTTGTCATTCTAAATGTAAGCTCCAACTCTCTTATAAGGACATTGAGCTTCCAACTCTGATAAGGACATTGAACTAATATAAATTATAATGAACAGCTCTTGAGATGGATAATGGAAGTTTAATGTGAATTGAAAAAAAAAAAAAAAAAAAAAAAAAAAAAAAAAAAAAAAAAAAAAAAAAAAAAAAAAAAAAAAAAAAAAAAAAAAAAAAAAAAAAAAAAAAAAAAAAAAAAAAAAAAAAAAAAAAAAAAAAAAAAAAAAAAAAAAAAAAAAAAAAAAAAAAAAAAAAAAAAAAAAAAAAAAAAAAAAAAAAAAAAAAAAAAAAAAAAAAAAAAAAAAAAAAAAAAAAAAAAAAAAAAAAAAAAAAAAAAAAAAAAAAAAAAAAAAAAAAAAAAAAAAAAAAAAAAAAAAAAAAAAAAAAAAAAAAAAAAAAAAAAAAAAAAAAAAAAAAAAAAAAAAAAAAAAAAAAAAAAAAAAAAAAAAAAAAAAAAAAAAAAAAAAAAAAAAAAAAAAAAAAAAAAAAAGAGAAAGCTCTCAGGCTAGTCTAAGTGGTAAAGGCTTGCAGATCAGTCCTCGGGGACCCTTTAAGGAATCCACAGGGCATCTTGTTAGCAAGAAACTCATTCTTAACTACGCAAGCTATTTCCAGCTCCTTGGGCTATTGTGATATCACTGGGCTAGTCGGGCCGATTTACTCTCCCAAACCGTAAGAATGCCAATCTCAGAGTCTAATGCTTTAGCGAAGAAAGCAAATTCTGTTTGTTGATATGTTTTTTTAATACATGCAGAAACAAAGACTTTGCAGTGAGATGAGAATCCTCCTTCAAATTATTTGAACATGCTGCAGACCATCTCCACAGAAATTCCGAATGGCAATGTTAAGAAGAAATCTGATGCCCATAGTCTGTTCAAGGTTGAACCATGCAAAGTTGATAGGGTTTACGACATGCTTGTGAAAAAGGGAATGGCTCAAGCATAATTATGTGTACAGTTGTATTTGTTACTGAAGGCAAAAAAAGCTCATTTGTTCAGCTATCTTGGCAAGAAGCCCAGCCTATTTAATAACCCAGATAAATAAAATTCCTATTTATACAAAACTCATAAACAAAAGAAAGATTACTGCCATGTTTATGTTGACTAAACTGGTAAAGGCAAATGGGAAATACCACAGTACAATTACCCATCATATTTATACGTATCAAGTAAACTCGAAATTTTTTTTATACTTATAATGTATTACGCCTGAAAAATGGTAGATGCTAATAAAAACAATACTGAAACAATAACAAAAGGGAAGCATTGCAAATATTCACTACAAAAAAACAAAAACAAAAATTTGTTTTTGGTTTTTTCCTCGTAGAACCCAATTCACTACAAGTCAATAAATGATTTAATAAAAAGTACAATAGAGAGTCCCAAAACCTGAACAAACTAGGCGAGAGAGAGAGAGAGAGAGAGAGAGATAAACATCAAAATATTAAAGTACAACAGAAAAAAAGAAATTGCCCACTAAGCTGAATTTCCCCAAACTTGGATTAGTACCCAGTTTCAAAAAGCTAATGTTTTCCCACTAAAATTATTAAATTATCCTAATCGCAGTTCACTTACTCCTAGAATGGAACAAATGCAAAAAAATAAGATGTATAATCTCTAAAGGTGGAAGGAAACAAAGCCCGACGTTGCCTCAGCTCAATCTGCTCAAGAAGACACCTTTTCATCTTCATCTCACCCAAAATCAGTTTTTTCCGTGTTATATTCAATATTTACCCGCAACGGACGAACTATAACTAAATCAATAAAAAAAACGAGAGCATAGAAAAAGAAAAAGGAGCAGATAAACAAACTCAAAAAATAAGGAAGAGAGAGAGAGAGAGAGAGAGAGAGAGAGAGATGACCTCAACTATGTTTTTCGACGGAGTTGTTACCTGTGATGACGGCGGTGAGGGTTAGCGCCTTCCTTGTGTAGAAGAAGACCGAGTGGTGAAGTTGATTTAGCTCCTTCGCTCTGTAGTGCTTTGGGCCTTGTAGTTTGGGTCTATACCCACCAAGCCCAACCTATTTCCAACCCAATGCAAATGCAATACTTTATTTGTTTTTGGCCTTTTTGAAAAGGGTGATTTTATTGGCACCCCATAAATTACTCTTTACACCCCATACTAATTTTAAATATAAATAACCTATTTTACCCTTGTACACAATTACCGTTAAGGACAAAAAAAATTAAAATTAAAATTAAAATTGCTCACTACACCCCACATATGTTCCTGCAACCCTAGTTTTGACTTTTTTCTCAAACTATCATGTTCCTAAACCCTAAACCCAAGATTTATAAGTTTATACTGGTGAAAAAATATATTGTATTTATTCATGAAGGGTGAGATTGAAGTTAGAGACGCTTCGAATGAGGTACGAGTTTATTTTTTGGCGTTTTGCAAGTTTAATATTTCATAACAGTCGCTGGTTGTGTTCAGCACATCAGTACCGAACGCGACAGATAATTTCGGTGGGATGCCACCGAAACTTTGCATCTTTTTCGGTTGGATTTCACCGGTGAGAAACTTAATATTCGGTGGGGATCCACCGTAAGATGGAACGTAGTTCAGTGGGGTACTACCGAAATTTTACCCGCGTTTCAGTGGCATCCAACCGAAATTTATTTATTTTTTCAGTAACTTATTGCCAACCACAAATTTAATCCAAGCTATTTTGATCTTACTCCCATTGAAGGAACAAAATCAAGGTGACGCCCCTACTGAAGGCAACAATGTGGGAACAGAATGTGTAATGGACTATAGTGATCAATTCACAACTTATTCGGTAATTATTTATCTGAAATCCTTTTTAGTATCATTAACGTGGCATTAATGTTTCAAATTTTGTATTTAAATAATATGAGTTTTATGTGTAGATATTTAATGGTAGAGATGCATTACTTCGATGGGCTCGTGAACAAGGAAAATTGAATAATATTGTCATTGTAATTAAAAGGTCTGATTATGGAGGTGAGGGCAAGAGGAGACCTCGTGTAATACTTGCTTGTGAGAGGAACGGTAACTATAAGTCTTGCAAGTCTAGTGAGACAACTGATATAAGATCGGATGCAAATAGTGATATGAAAAAATGTGCTAGAGACACTGGTACCAAGAAATGTGGATGCCCATTCTTGTTAAAAGGTGTCAATATTGGTGATGGGGATGATTGGAAGTTGGAGGTGGTTTGTGGAGTACACAACCATCCTATTTCAGAGTATCTTCAAGGTCATTCATTTGTGGGGCGACTTACTGAAGAGGAGAATGCCTTGTTGGTGGACATGTCTAAGAGTTTGGTGAAACCCAGAGATATTTTGGTCACCATTAAAGATAGAGATGCAATGAATGTTTCAACTATGAAGACAATATACAATGCTAGGATCCGAAATAGAACCAAAGAATTTGCTGGGAGAACCCAAATGCAACAATTGCTTACTAAGTTATCCGAACAAAATTATATTGAGTGGCATAGGACATCTGGGGATATTATAACTGACCTGTTTTGGACACACCCCATTAATATTGATATTTTGCGCGCATTTCCACATGTACTTATCATGGATTGCACCTATAAGACTAATAGGTATCGTTTCCCACTATTGCAAATTGTGGGGGTGACATCTACTAATATGACATTCTCTGTTGCGTATGTGTATATGAATGCTGAGAAGGAAGACAATTACACATGGGCATTGACTGCGTTGAGGAGTTTGTTGGATGATAATTGTCTTCCTGGTGTTATTGTCACCGATCGAGAGTTAGCACTCTTGAATTCTATTACGTCTATATTTCCAAAAGCACGACATTTATTATGTAGATGGCATATTAACAAAGGAGTGTTGGCAAACTGCAAGAAGTTATTTGGGACCCTCAAACAATGGAAGCAATTTAATGAGGATTGGAATACTTTGGTTGGTTCAGAAACGGAGGAGGAATATTGGCGTTGTTTGCGACAGATTGAGTCTAAGTTTAGTGAATTTCAAAAAGCTCTTGAATACATACATGAAAATTGGTTAAATCCATTTAAGGATAGGTTTGTGGCCGCATGGACAGACACTTGTATGCATCTTGGATCGACGACCTCAAATAGGTAAGTATTTTAGTCAACTTTTGATATGTTAATTTGAAAATTTATTTTGCTTCAGGAAAATTTATTATTGTTATCAACAGAGCGGAAAGTGCACATGCAAAGTTGAAGCGACAGCTCCGCTCAAGCCAACTTAACTTTGAGAGATCATGGGTAACTATACACTCATTGTTAGAGCTGGAGCACACAGAGATTAAGGCATCTTTTGAAAAGAGTCGATGTTTTATTCAACATAGGTTCAGGCATCCGGAGTTGAGAGAGTTAGTAGGTTTTGTTTCTATAAAGGCTTTGAGTGTAATTGTGTGCGAGTTAGAAAGGTAAATTCAGTTTACTTATTGCATGTACATATATGGTTTACAGAGTTAACATTGTACTTTTTTGCAATCAGGTTAGAGATAGATGGGGTGGATGCTTTATCATGTGGTTGTGCTATTCGTCGAACCCACCAATTACCATGTGCACATGAAATTGCGGAGTATAGAGAGCGTGGTGTACCAATACCACTTGATGTCGTGCATTCACATTGGAGGAAATTAGACCTCATCAATATAGGAAACAGTAATCATGGCACAACTTCACCAGGAAGGTCACAACTACAAAGATTCAATATGTGGTATGAACAACAAGATGGTGAGAAGAAGAAACAAGTCCACATGACACTGGAGGAGTTAATGAACCCTGGTTCTACTGCATTTACTGAACCAAAAGAGAAGTTGAAGACCAAAGGGAGACCGCGAAAAGCCAACACTTCTACTCTGAATCTGTGTCTGAAACATTGGAGAATCGCGCCCGTAACCATGACAAACTCACATACTCATCACTGTATTCGTGCAATTGTTCAGTAACCTCTTCATCAGTCACTCCTAAGTACTTAACTAACAACTCAAAATTTGTGTCGTCATCATCTCCAAGAGGAGCAACCGCTGCACCAGACACATGAATGCCTAAAATAGATGACACATCATCCAATGTGATGGTCATCTCACCAAAAGGCATGTGAAAGGTGTTCGTTTCGGGATGCCACCTCTCAACAAATGTAGACACCACAATCTTATCAGCATTCCGATAAGAACACCTAATAAGGTGCTCTAATCCAGACCTCTGAATGTACCCTTTGAATATACCATTATTTGGATTACCCCACCAATTCCACTCACGAAGGGTAGATGTTTTCGACATGCACCTAAGGGGCTCACGTTCCTAGTTAAACAATAAAAAAAACAAAATTAAGGTTAGTTACCATGAACCAGATTTATATTCTACCTTCTATTGTCACAGTAAAACGACTTACCTGGTTATTCCAAATTGTAGCTGCTATGTGAGTTTTAAAACTCGTAAGTAAAGATGGATCAATGGGACCTACTCGAGATGGCTCAGTAGGCTCGGCATGTACCTCAACATTACTATCCTGAGCAGTAGCTACATCTTCAACCTCTGCGTCAACATTACTATAATCAGTAGGAACTACATCTTCAACCTCTGTAGTATCCTCAATGTGATCTTGGGGAGCCGTTCTCTGTCTCCTCGCTGAGGCCGTGGGACGTTGTCTATTAGGTCGTGATGATGAAGCTTCAGTAGTACCCCTGCGAATCCTCTTCATATCTAAAAATAAAAAATATTAAGTACACTCAGTAACGTATTCGGTACATAATCACTGAAAAACGGAAATAAATTCGGTGGACAATCACTGAAAAAAGAATACATATTTGGTGGAGTACCACTGAAAAACCGAAAGAAATTCGGTGGGAGTCCCCTGAAAAATAGAAACAGATTCGGTGTACTACCACCGAAACAAGGTAACAATTTCGGTGGTAACCCACCGAAAGTACATGTTCAATTCGGTGGACTACCACTGAAGCAATGTAATAATTTCGGTGGCAATCCACCGAAACTAGAATCCAATTTCGTAAAACCAGGTTCGAACTACCCAGAACCTTGAAATCAAAATCAAAATCAGTATAAGACTTTGGCTTTTCAAAAGTGAAATCAAATGTAGGCTTAATCAACACTTAGAAACGTAAATATATAAATCAAATTTGAAATCAAACCTTGAATAAGGATTTGTGAGAACTTGACCTTCAATGGCTTTTGGGTTTGCAGAGATGGAGATGGCTGTGATGGTTCTGTTTCAGAGATGGTTCAGTTTGCTGGAGGAGATGGCAAAGGGCTTCTTCGATGGTGAGCAAAGATCTGCGATGGCAAGGGATGAATTCTTCAATGTTCTGCGATGCAGGCAACGACAAAGGAATTCTTCAATGGTTCTGCGATGGAGGTTGGTGTAAATGGGATGGGGTGTGCGATGGGGTGTGTCTGCAAGAGGAGAGAATTTTCGGAGGGGTGTGGCTGGATATCAGATGGGTGGGGTTTGATTTCAGATGGGGTGTGGCTGAAAGGGAAGGGGGTTTTCGGTGGGTAGTTAAGGAATGGGGTTTATGAGGGCAATTTAGGGAAAAAAAGGGGTTTAATGAGTAATTTGAAATTTTATTAAAATTTAGTGGGGTGTAAAAAATTATGGGGTGTAAAGAGTAATTTATGGGGTTCATATAGAATTACCCTTTTGAAAAAAGGCAAATTCTCGCTGTCATTGTCAGCTGAGAACAAAAAAACAGAGTTGAACAATTGACAAGATCCCAGTGTAAGCTTAATTAAGGGCTTCACACTCAATCCTAGTGGAACTCAAACTCATGTGCACAAGTAGAAATCATAATCAAACTATGCTAGTCCATTGATGACTAACTGTAGAATTCACACCCCTAGTACATTGATTGTAGTGCTTAAGGTGATCGAGAGTTGCAGAAGATCTTGTCATTCTAACAAGCATGCCTTCATCATGTAAGTGATCGAGGTATTGTGAGTTTCCTAAATACTGCAGAAATTTATTTTAAAAGTCTTACATTTGGTATCAGAGCCTAGTTCACAATCCCTTGAATCCTTAATATAGATTAATTTTTGATCCAGTTCTGTTATATGCTATATCTATCACTAATTTGATTTTTGAGTGCAGAAAAGATAGCTATGGTGATCATGTTCATAGAATGGTGTTATGCAAAATGATACTGACAAAGCAGTTCAGTTTGCATTACATCTTACTGGTTCCTGGTTTTATATGATCACCAATTGCATTGTAATTCATAACATGTAGAATAGTTCATGCCAAAGCAAGACTGTTCTATGTGGTGGTTCGAAAAACAATGGTATAATACAATCTATGATACCTTTGAATCATATAAACCTTTCAAGTTTTTATAAAGCTAATTCATATGGTAATCATGTATTGGTGTTATAATAAAGAAAACATCATATACTCTGTTCAAAGATGAGAATATGAGACAGATTGGGGGATAAAGATTTTCACATTTGCATATTCAGTGAAATGACAATTTTGGATGCCCTTTCCATGAACCTCAGCTCCATGAGAACCACTTACAGGAATTAACTACAAAATAGTTGCCAAAAGTTTATAGGAATATTTTCATGACGCCTGAAAGATATATATAGTTGGTATGAGTTTAAAAGTTGGATCTCATGCAGCATTACTAATAAACCGTTGGATCTCATTCATGCAGCATTAGATACAAAAGGTTTATTCTTGGTTACGTATATATAAACCGTTGTTCTTCAATCCTTCCATGCATCCAATCCAATACGCTTTCTCAAGGACAACAAGAGAATCATAACATAATGAAATCCCAAAAGTTTCTTTTGGTTCTCTTGCTGCCATGGCTGTGTCTGCCCTTTTAGCAACCTCACGTACTCTTCCTATCTCTCTCACTACTAGTTTTTCCAAATGATTCTAACACCTAACCTTTTTTTTTCCAACTTGGTCGCATGAAATTCATCTTGTTTTTGCAAAACTTCATGGGAAGTTGGGAAAAGAGTTGCATTGCAGATCTATTTTATTTTCCTTATATAATTACATCAAAATGAACCGCAACTAGTTGCTAACAGATGATCACTCGCAGCCGATTGACCCTTTTTGCTATGGACTCTGCTCAAACACATTTGGAGATGCAGATTGGTTTGCATTATGCAAAGCCAAACAATTCAAAGACGGGAATAGCATGGTACAAACCCAGCAACTACAATGTTGTTGCAGCCGCTAGAAAAAGACAGACACAGAGAAAAGATTAAATTGATTATTCGAGAAAATAAAACTATGGCCACACATGAATCATGATCTTCCTTGTACTTTTTAAATGAGGTTTTATTTCTTCAAATATGTAATGAAATCTCCATTTCTTTGCAATGAAAACCATTTCTCATACTTACTCGTGATGATGACGATGCTTGCTTTATTTCACTTTCAATAATCTGAAATACAAATCTTAGTGGCGCATTATCGTTAATAGGGAGCACCACTTTCCACGTTACAGTTTGCTCACTTTGAATTTCTCTTTCACCCATTTTATGCAAACTTCTCTAACAGATTCCAGACCAACCGCAATAACCTCTCCAAACAATACAAAAAATAAGAGGGTCTTCTCAAACTCGTGTCATGTAGTCATATGGTGGGCCCCACATAGCATTGTGTGAAGGCAAATTATATTATATTAATAAACACAAACATGAGACAATCAAGCAGCACATATAAATGTTGGGTTCCTCCAAATTTGTGCTCTCTTTTCAGTCTCAGTTACGTGACAAATTCTCACCCTCAGCATCTCCTCCACTCCTGATACCTCTTCTCTCTCTCTCCATTATATGCTTCAAAGCTAGTTTCATTTCCCTCTCTCTTTCTTTACACAGACCACTACTGCTTAAGAGAGAGAGAGAGAGAGAGAGAGAGAGAGAGAGAGAGAGAGAGAGAGTGCTCAATTTAAGTTGTTGATTCTTAGAAGCTTCAATCTATGGCTTCTTGGGTTCTTTTACCGGTAGCTCCAGTAACCGGTCGCTGTCTAGTAGCTCCTGTGAGAACTCAGAGGTCCTCCTCCATCTGCGTTCGGTCTTCTCTGGACGCAAATGTTTCTGACATGAGTGTAAATGGTAAAGTTCCCATCTTTTTTAGCTTCAATTTGACAATTATCTCTCTTTTTATTGTTATTCTATCTCTTTTGATTTCTGGGTATTCTTACTTTTCGTGAATGATAATGAATTTGAGGAAACTGGTGCTGAGCGCACTATTAAGTTAGTATTCTGAGATGAATGTTTACTCTGCCAGCTCCAAAAGGGTTGTTTCCACCTGAACCTGAGCACTACCGAGGTCCCAAGCTGAAAGTGGCTATAATTGGAGCTGGGCTTGCAGGCATGTCAACAGCAGTTGAGCTTTTGGATCAAGGCCACGAGGTTTGTCCAATTTATTTTCTAGTCCTCCGACTGCTCACAATTATGTCTGAATTGTATGTTTCTTTCAGTTTAGTTTTTTACTTCAGTATATGAATTAAAGTTTTAAAATTGGAAACTTTGGCTGAAACGTTTCAGTGGCTCACTTCAGATTTTCAGCTAGGTTGTTTCTTTCTAGGAAATTAGTTACATGTGTTCTTTGTAAATTCTGCAGGTGGATATATATGAGTCAAGGCCTTTCATTGGTGGAAAAGTGGGCTCCTTTGTTGATAAGCGTGGAAACCACATTGAAATGGGACTCCATGTTTTCTTCGGTTGCTACAGTAATCTTTTCCGATTAATGAAAAAGGTGAACAAATATTGCTTGGTTGAACTGCTATGACATTTGGGTGATCCTGATATTCTGGGAAAAGTCCTTATAAACAACTTTATTATTCTTTTTTTATTCTTGGATCTCCACTTAAACAGGTGGGTGCAGACGAAAATCTACTTGTCAAGGATCATACTCACACTTTTGTAAACAAAGGGGGTAACATTGGTGGTATGTCTTGGTGCTTGATCTTATTTGCTCATAAATCTTTCTTCTTCTAGCCATGCTCTATCTTGTATGTCACAATTTTCATTTATGAATTATTCATAAACAATGTACCTTATCTGTTACTTAATCTTCCATCGCAGAGCTTGATTTTCGGTTTCCAATTGGAGCACCAATACATGGGATTCTTGCATTTTTGTCTACAAATCAGATTAAGGTAGGTTTTCCCATTGCCACTGCTACTGGGTTTACTGCAAGCATTGTCATGTCTCATTACTTTGGATACCAGTATAAAGAATGAAGCATTGCTTTGGCCTTGAACCAGGAAAACAGTAAAAGAAAAATATTCATATGTCTTTTTCCCTGTTATCATTTAGAGTTCCTCTTGGAAGTGAACTGAATTGTAATGGAGCTTATTTCTCAATTAGATTTCTGTTAATGGTTTCCTGTATACTATTGTTCAAGTGCAGACTTATGATAAAGCAAGGAATGCAGTGGCTCTTGCGTTAAGTCCAGTTGTAAAGGCTCTGGTTGATCCAGATGGAGCATTGAGGGATGTACGGAATTTGGATAGTGTAAGAATCAAAGCTATCGTTATCGTTTATTTTGGTCTCCATTCATATTGTGTACCTGTGAAAGTTGTCTGGGAATGCTCTGCAGTTCATTTTCTCCATGTTCATAATTCAATTTTAAATGGTTATTATTTTTCACACAGTTGTTGTAACTTTTTAAAATCTTACTTGTTAATTACAGATAAGCTTCTCTGATTGGTTCTTGTCCAAAGGTGGCACACGAATGAGTATCCAGAGGATGTGGGATCCTGTTGCATATGCACTTGGGTTTATTGACTGTGATAATATTAGTGCTCGTTGTATGCTCACTATATTCACGTTGTTTGCCACTAAGACTGAGGCTTCCCTGCTACGCATGCTCAAGGGTTCTCCAGATGTTTACTTAAGTGGCCCCATCAGAAAGTATATTATTGACAAGGGGGGCAGGTAAATATGAGCTTTGCATGGCAATGATGAGATAATGATTTATGTTTGTTCTTATATTTCTCATATATAAGTTGATTTCTTAGCACTTGGAATCTCCTTTTCTGTTGTAACAGGTTTCATCTTAGGTGGGGATGTAGAGAGATACTGTATGATCAATCTGCTGATGGAGAAACATATGTCGCAGGAATTGCCATGTCCAAGGTAATGCACTCATCATGTTGCTTCTTTTATTGTGTTGAATTTAGATGCTTCTGGTGGAAATTGGGCTTCCTTAGTGTAAATACCTAATGTTTTGTTTTTATTGTAGGCTACTAATAAGAAAATTGTGAAAGCTGACGCTTATGTTGCAGGTTTGTGGTTTACTTTTGCTGCTTTTTTTCCTTCCTAATTTGAAATACTATTTCCGATTTCGGTTGATTAAGTTTTTCTCTCAAACTATTTCGTTTGTTAACAGCGTGTGATGTGCCCGGAATCAAGAGACTGCTTCCGCCTCAGTGGAGGGAATGGGATTTTTTCAATAATATTTATGAGCTAGTTGGAGTTCCTGTTGTCACTGTGCAACTTAGATACGACGGTTGGGTTACAGAGTTACAAGATCTAGAACGATCAAGGTGATTCTCCCTTACATACTGAAGTACTTGTCATGTGAAAAGGGGTTGCTTTTGTATAAAGGACCTTGTAGAAATCGGTTTTTGTTCACTTCTTCAAGACTAATGGACAAGGATACTTGTGTTTGATAGGCAATTGAAGCAAGCTTTGGGATTAGATAATCTTCTTTATACTCCCGATGCAGATTTCTCTTGCTTTGCAGACCTAGCACTTACTTCCCCAGAAGATTACTATATTGAGGGACAAGGTTCACTCCTCCAGTAAGGAAAACATGTGAATTATTGTTATCACATTTTTTCAATCTTTAGGTTTTACAAGTAGAGATTACAAATTAAATAACCAGACACCTTATTTTGAAATTTTCAAATAAAACTTTATGAGCTTTCTTGAAAGTTCATTTTGCATCTCAGTGTGTCAAAATCCATTCTAATGTGAGATTATTGATCCTTTGTCCATCTTTGTATTTCATAAATATTTGCACTTTTACAATTTTGAACTTAGCTCTGATGCTTCTTCGTCTTGCAGATGCGTTTTGACACCAGGTGATCCTTACATGCCTTTACCAAACGAAGAAATTATAGCAAGAGTGACGAAGCAGGTAATTAGCTTATTAAGTGCGCATTTTCATACCTTAAGCAAGTTCGTCTGCAGTTAGAAGAAATCGATAAAAAATCAAATTCTGAACTTTGAAATTTGAAATTCAAGGTTTTGGCTTTATTCCCATCATCCCAAGGTTTAGAAGTCACTTGGTCATCTGTTGTCAAAATTGGGCAATCTCTCTATCGGGAGGCACCTGGCAAAGATCCTTTTAGACCTGATCAGAAGACACCTGTAAAAAATTTCTTCCTTGCCGGCTCATACACAAAACAAGTAAGTTTATGCAACTGATTTTGCTATAGAAGAAGAATGATGAAAGGAAATTGTCAAGTTTGTAAAGTCTAAATGGATGTACCTTTTACAGGACTATATAGACAGCATGGAAGGGGCAACTTTGTCTGGCAGGCAAGCTTCTGCGTATATATGTGATGCTGGGGAAGAGTTGGTGGGATTGCGAAAGAAGCTTGCGGCCCAAGATTCTGGGGAATACACAAAAGCTGCTAATACTACTGATGAGCTGAGTCTTGTCTAACACATTTTCATTTGTGATTCATTAGTTAGCACCGAGAAAAACCACCTCAAATCAAAATGTCGTCGAGACAGGCGGTGACTTTGACACAAGTGCTCTTTGTTTATTATCAAATGATTTACAATGGTTTATATCATATAAAAGTATAGAAAGGTTATGAGAAGAATGTAGATTTGGTGATCATGATGAAATGTAATATGCATATTTTGTGCTCTTTGTGAGGAATGAGAGCTCCGGTTTATCATTGAACTTTGCAGGGTGGTCTGATTAACACATCCCATCCAAAAATATACCTTGGCCTCCTTTGAAAGCTCAAGAGGAAAAACTGAATGAGGCAACTTACCTAGTTTACAGTTACGCTTTGTCTTGCTAATGAGAAAACATTAATAAAGAAAAGAACACCGTATTATGTTGATAATTCACATTTCATCTTTAGGCAGCATTTGAGCAAGATAGTAAGTTAAGCAATTGCACTAGTAAATCAATAGCAACCTGCACAATCCCATGAACAGACAGAAACACAACACAGCAAAAGCAGGCAAATCAAACCCAAAGTAATAATAATACTAATATTGCACCATTCGTGTGACTGCATCAAGAACACAACACAACTTTATTATTCAAACACAAACTACGCTAAATACTAGTAAGTAAGTAGCACTTCATTACAGAGACCATATTGAACAAGCATCCCCAAAATACTTAATAACACATAAAGCATTAGCATCGTCTGATTCTTCAAGACTTGAACACAACCAGCAAGTACTGAAATTTCCACAACCCAAGCTGCCATTGATTATTCTCACTTCAACCCATTCTCCAATTCCTGATCAACAGCCTTGTGTGCAGCCTCAAGTTCCTCATCAAAGAACATATCCCACTGGCCCTCCCATTTGATAAAAAACTCAGTATCCTCATAGTACTTGACTCTGTGCGAATCCCCGGCTGGTGTAAACAAGTAATCTCCGACACCCAGATCATACCTCGCCTTCTTCGTCAAATTCCACACGCTCTTCTTCCCCTCCAACACAACCAAGTCGTGCCCAAACGTGTGGTGATGCGCAGGCTCGACGCTCCCGGCCTTGAACCTGACTATCGCCGATGTTGGTGTCTCTCTCAGAATCTTCATCGACCCTCCAGGAATAATATCAATCGGGTTCAGTTTCCGATTCTTCACCAAACAACAGAGAGTACAAGAAGCCTCCTCCGAACCCAAAGCTGCTTGCTTTTCTTCTTCAGCTCCAATTTTGGGCATTTCTTTAATCGAATTGTCGAGAAAAGTATCGATTTCTGGAGGCCAGGGCTTGGAGTCGGAGGCGGGACAGGGGGATTTGAAAGGGGTGTTGAGCCAGGTGTCGAGGATCTCGATGGCGGAGTCCGGTGCCGTGGACATGCCAGAGACGGCGAGGACGTTGGAGTTGTTGATGGACCGAGCGTTTTGGGCTTCGGAGGGGTTGAGACACGTGGCGGCGAACACGCCAGGGAACTTGTTGGCGAAGATGGCGACTCCGACGCCGGTGCCACAGGCGACGAGGCCGCGGGTTTCGACGGCGCCGTCAGAGGAGGAGGAGGAGACGCGGCGGCCGACATCGGCGGCGATGGAGTAGTAGGAGGAAGTGCCGAGGTCTTCGACGTCGATGTTGAGAGAGCGGAGGTGGGAGACTAAGGCGTCTTTGAGAGAGCAGCCGAAGGAGTCGGCTCCTGCGACGATTTTGAGTGGGCGTTTGCCGCTCGCTTCCTCGGCCATTGTTTCGCTAGGCTGAAGAAGATGCTCTCTCAGTCAATCGCTTGCGTTTCAGAGAGAGTGATGATGATCAGTGAGAATAATAAGAAGATGAATCTGGACCAACCGAGAAACCGAGTCTTCCTCGTTCTCATTGTTTGTCTTACTTTCCACGTGTCACGTTTAGATGCGTTTAATTATGCGTTTTCAATTTAACCCGGACCCATACATCTTGGGTTCACTGGGCTCGGTGTTTTGGTCGTCAACGCAATAGGCTCAATTTCTCCAAACCCAAAATTGTTTTAACAGTTATGGTTTTAGCCCGCCAAATCCGACCCGAACCGACCCTTGCACTTCTCTCTCTCTCTCCAACTGTATTTAACAGACTTGGCGAAATCTATACCCGCCAAAACAATGGCGGGAGGATTGTGTTACAGTTGCACTGCAAGTGTACGACTTCCTATGCTCTTGCAGTCCAAGGTAATTTAGAATTCAATTATCAATTTTGCTTGAATTCCTGAGCGTTGGTGTATCTCTGGCCCATTTATGACCGTTCATTTGCCAGACATTCCGTGGCACCCGATGCTCCTCAGCCGCACCGGATAACAACAGAAATAACAACAATCACAAGAGAGACACCCCACAGGTTTTGAAAATCGCTGTGAGCGGCGTCACTGAGCTTCTCAGGCTTCTCTCTTCCTTCAGCAAAACAACCAGGTATTTTTCCCATTCTACCCCTCGCTTCATTTCCCGTTTGGTTTCCTCAGAAAATGTACAAGGAGAAAAATTAAAAATTAAGGGGCCTTTTGATAACCATTTCATTTTTAGTTTTCATTTTTCATTTTTCATTTTTTTTGCTAGAATATAGAGGAAAAAGTTAAAAGAGGGAGAATGGAAGTGAGAATGAGAGTGAAGATAGGATTGAGAGGGAAGATGAGAGAGGAGGAAGGAGTACCAAAAGTGAAAACAAAAACTAAAAACTGAAATCTATTTGATATTGTTTTCACTTTCAAGTTTTTGTTTTCTCTTTTGTTACTCTCCCTCCCATTCTCCCCTCTCATTCTCTCTCAATCTCTTCTTCACTCCAATTCTCACTCTCATTTTCCTCTATATACTCTAGCACAAAAAATGAAAAATGAAAACTAAAAACTAAAATTGAAAAGGTTATAAAATGGGCCCTAAAACTTTGAATTTGAATTTGAATTCTTGAGCTTTCTGTTATTTAATTTGATAAATACATTGCAGACTGAATGGAGTGAGTGATAAAGGGACAGATGAGTTTTCAGTTTCTGGCATCGATGAAGTTTTAATGATTCTCAAATCTGATTACGAGAATGCGTATTTTGTTACAGGTACCTTACTCTTTGAGAGACACCTTCCTGTGTTATTTCTCTCTTCTACTCTATGTAGTAAACTTACTTTCCATTGCAAATAGGGATTTTCACTTCTGCAATCTACGCTGAAGATTGTATCTTTGAAGATCCAACTATCAGATTTCGAGGTGAGAAAATGTCTATTAATAGCATATTTTCGGCATAACCTATCGAAAACATTGAAGCAGTGTGTCAGTTTTGCCTTTTGTAATCCAAGTTCCAAAAGAAAAGAGAGAACTTGTAATCTGTCCACACTAAATCCGAAGGCAACCATTGTCCCATTAAATCTTACTAAACTGTTCAGTTTCCTTCAATTAATGTTACCAAACTGTGTAACAGCATTTTGTTTCACTGGTACTATCTACTGTAATGAACACACACATACACATGTAAAAAGATGTTTGCTTGTCTTATAGTTAGATTCTGATCACATGATCAAGTTTGCCCCACTCACTTCTCTCTTTGTCCCTTCCCTGGTTGTAAAAATTTTGGACAGTGTGTGCAATAATTCCTTGTGTGCTAATTTATGTGAGAATTATGAAGCCTCTAATTTGCATGGTCTTTGGCTGTTTAGGTAAGGAGTTGTATTCTCGCAACTTGAAATTGCTTGTTCCTTTCTTTGAATCTCCATCAATTGGATTAGAAAAGATCGAGAAGGTAGTCATTTCTCAGTGGATTGCAGTTGGATTTCAGTACTATAATCTAAGATATATATGATATATCACAGCAACATTTAGCATGTTAACTGATTAATGTGTGCTTCATTTGAAGCCAAGAGCAAACAAATCTGAGTTAATTACATATGAACTCTGTACGAAATTTATCTTTCTTGGAAGGAGTGGCTTGCGTTTTGCCTCACTTAAAAGTTTCTTTGTCATGACTATTTTCTTAGTTGTTTTAAGCTCAGTAGGATTTGTAATGACTGATAAGTTCAGTTGGATTAGTAACAATTAATAATATGACTCTCTGCAGGGTATCAATTCTGAAGCAAGTTTTGTGCTAGCAACATGGAAACTCAGGTTCTAACTTGGTCTACTGTTCTTTAATTTAGAGGGGCACTGAATACTAATCTGAAGCAAGCAAACCACCTATTTCGTGTGGTGCGATAGGTTTGACTGCATTAAAATGTATAGGGGCAGAGAAATGACCTGCCCTTTATTTTCAATGTCAGTTTTGGCCTTTGAAATTGAGACTAGCAACATTTTTCCACTCCTTCTTTGAATTGATTCTCTGTCTGATTGTGTGAACCTTACTGCAATCCTTTAAACCCCTAGCTGTGGGTTCAGCCTAAAAAATTTCATCTGGTCTGCAGGACCTACCTGAAACTTCCGTGGAGGCCTCTCATTAGCATTGATGGAAGCACGGTCTATGACTTAGATGATAAGTTTAAAGTGAGAACAGAAGCGCTTTTATATGCTGGATAGTGATACTTAACTTATGGTGTTTTTGCCAGTTATTAATGGGTGCTTGCCACTATTGGTTTAACAGATTGTAAGGCATGCTGAGTGTTGGAATGTCTCTGCAATTGAGGCAATTGGCCAGCTGTTCACGCCTAGTTATGGAAGGTCCAATGACTGAATATCGCAAGTCTTAGAAATCTGAAGGAGCTTCAGGTTCATTTTACATTGGTTAGTGTTTCCTTCCATTGCTAGAATTAGACCTTACTTTTAGCATATTGTTTTCGGTATTTCTTTGACTTGTGTACCATTACCCTTTGTCCTTTGTGTATATATATTTTAGGACCTTTCCTATTGAGAGGGGCGATAATATACTAAACTCACACACACAACACAGATGCTAGGACTCAAACCCATGACCTTGCTTGGGGCAGCAATTACTCCAAACTACTATACTAGTGGGTCTTTTGCTTTGTGCTGTGTATATGGCTTTGAAGTTTATAGTTGCATTTTATTTACGTTAGCCAAAATTCTGTCTAATTCTGTAAAGACCTTCCAATGCCAATGTGTACTGGATGTTATATTTTGTATTCCATTTTTGGCGCTTTCTGTCGGTTGGTGTTGTCAATCAGGCCAGACAATGTGCTCTGAAAAGCCGTGGCAGGGTTTTTACCCGCCAACTTTGTGCCTCTAGCTACTGCAGACAGTCTGCAGAGTCAAAGCACTATGAATAAGATCGTAACAGTTACCATTGCCAAGTAATGTTACCAAGGAGATATGAATATTTTTTAGCGGTTGAGATTATTACAACGGGGGAGAAGTAGAGGCATACGTTTGCAATGATGATAGGGAACATAGCCATCAAGCAAACCTAGACATAAACTATAGGGACAGTAAAGTGGTAATGAGAGCTCCTCATGTTCTTGCGCAGAAAGTCCAGTCTTTTTGAGTAAAGGGCATTAAAAAAAGGCTACTAGACCTTTCAAAATATGTTAAGAGAATCCAAAGTTAGAACTTGTAACAGTGTGTCTGCGGTTATGGTTGTGATAGTTCTGTAATGCTTTGATTTTGGCTTCTTGATCTATCTTCTTCTTTTTTATTATTTATTAATTAGGATGAGTTGATAGACTTCAAAATTTGAAAATTATAGTAAGAGTGCAATGGCTCAGCTGTAGCAGAAGTTATATCAAGCACTTCTTGCATATATATATTAATTAATACACAAGGAAAATCACAAGAAATTTAATTTACAACACTAAGGAATTATTTCCAATCTCAAACGTTTCCTCAGATTGGAATTAATAGATAAAAGGTCAGTTCATAATTCACATTGCTTTGTCAGTCCCTCTTCCAAGCATACAGCAACAGAGAAAACCCCCCATTACTACCATATGATCTAGTAGATGAAGAACATGAACTTCTCCCCCCATCGCTACTCTCCTCTGCCCATTGCAACACACTTGAGCATGACGGCGACGGGGACAACGAAGTCATCGACGGCATTGATGCCGAAGCAGCCGATGTCGACAAGCTCTTCCTCATCAACCTCTTCTCAGGACCTACCATTTCTGGCCACACCCCACCATCACCCACTTGAAAAACAAATACACCATGACCATTCCCATTAGCACCGTTATGATTATTAACCCAGTTGAACACGTCCCAGTAAAATTCAAATTCAACTCCACCAACAAAAATTCTCTCATTGCCTCTGAATTTCCAAGCCAACCTTTTGACAATCAGGCTTATCACTCCATCTACTTTTACTTTAAGCGTACCCTCGCTACACTCTATTCCAATTTCATGTTTGGACCCCAAGAACTGAGCTCTGGATATGTAATTCCTGCGCCCAAACACATGTTCCCGCCTTGACAACAGGGCAGGTTGGCTGAGTTTGTGAGTCACAACTACCCCTGACCGCCGACTGAACTCGTCCAAAAGATCCCCAAGAAAGAATTCAAGTTTGGCATTGCAAGAAATGGCGATGTAGAAGCAAGACTCTGGCTCAGCCGAGTTGTGACTGAAGTCAGCCCGGGTGAAGTCCCAGTAAAGCTTGATTCTTTGGCAATGGTTGTGGGTTAGAGAGATGGATTTGGAGCCTGGTTTGGTTCTGAAGAAGGAGAAAGTTGATGGGTTGAGGGAGATTGTGATGGAAAAAGAGTCTGAGGCATGAATGGTTAGAGAGTGAGGGAAGGGGCTTTTGGACCAAGTGAGAGTGAGATATGTGGGTGAGTTGCAAAGCTGAGTTTGATATATGCAGGTTATAAGGTTTTGGGGCACTTGAGAGCTGCTTGAGAGTGTGTTGGGCTGGCTGAAACATGCTGGGATCATGGTGTCCAACATTGCTGCTTGTTACTCAAACCATATGCAGTTGAAGAATTGTGGGAGGTGTCAAGTTGATGAGAGAGAGAGAGACAGAAGTATGAATGGAGTGTTTGGAAGTTTGATTATATATTCATTTGGCTTTGTATTGATGGGTAGTTTTGTATTTGAGAGGTTGTGGAAGATTTAGAGAGAGAGTTTTGGAGGCGTAAAGGCTTTGTCTTTGGGTGGGTGTTGATGGGTAGTTTGGGATTTGAGGGTTTGCTATAGTAGTATAAGAAGAGCTTTTGGCTTGGGGCTGTGGCAAAAGAGTGTGCCTGTGCTTTGAATCTTGAATGATGAAAGTTACAAGGCTCCCATCATCACAATCATCAGCACCAGTAGCTAAGCCTTACACGTACAGTTCATTCATGTTATATTCTCCATAATTTGCGCCTTTGACAGAGTTTTAAATATATATATCTCTCATGTTCATGGGAATGGGAGTGAGCTGGGTTGCACTTGGGGCTTCTGGGTCACGGTTGCAGGTGACTTTGGTTTTATTTTAATTTTTACTTTTAGAGGGCAAGTGAGTCCTTTTCTATAATAATTTGTTTTTCCTCTTGCCATCTCAAAAGGAGTTCAGAAGATGGGGCCTTGGGAAAAGGAGAAAGAGTCCCCAACCACTTTTGTATGGTAGCTTCAGTTTCATTCATCCATCAACTTCTGGGGAGGAGGGAGAATAGATGACGACAACCAACTGCAACATGCCTAGTAGATAGTAGACACCAAACTTCTGCCATTATATTACACACAAAAATCATAAATTTTCATTTTCATTAGTTTTTTTCTTTCTTCTTTGTTTTGACTTTCAACATCTGATAATCTTATTTTTCCATTGCCGATGAGTGTGTTTAAAATTGGCCTAATGAGGATGAAACAAGTTTCTCTACCTAGTGGCTTCCATCTAGCTAGTAGCGTGGTGCAGTTTCTGAGGCAGATTTTAGAGGGCAGGTCTCTTGGGTTGCATGCTGTTTGTTTGGCACATTTCCAGCATAATCCCGAACTCCTAGCCAAGGATCATTCTTCTTTTTTGGGTTGAGCATGGATTGGATTTGGTCCTCTTTTCCAATATCTAGTTTACCTACAATTAACCTACCTACCTCCGTCAAAACCAGAAATTAAGACCTCCCATGTGTCATTTGTACTTTTGTTTTTGTACCTCTCTAGATAAATAATTATCTAAAAACAAAGGTTATAGTTCTGCTAACTATTTTGACTTTTCCATTCAGCCTCTTCTTTCTAAAGACTAATGGAAAAGAACACTCTTCTTTTGAAAGACTAATTGAAAAGAACAAAAATACTCTCTAGGAGAAAAACTTGGCTATTCCGGTTGTATGTACTGGATGCGTGTGCATATCTTTCACGTGCATCCGGTGCATACATACAACCATTTCAGCTAATTTTTTATCTTTAACATATGTGACTTTACCTTGTACATTGCCAGCAAAATAGCATTTTGTACTCTGCATTATGACATAAAATAAAACCAAGTGATGACAATTCATGTGAATACGGATCTATAGGTAAAGTCTTTAAAGACTTTAACCTAAAGTTTACTACAATACAATAATTTGTAGATCATTCTTTTGTAGGATAACATGAAAAGGATTAGGGCCCAAACCAAACCAACAACAACAATTTGCAGACTTTTTCCAGAAATTCCAAATTAAGAGTGCTGCATATATATTACCACCTGTAAATAGATCGAAACAAACAAATATTATGAAATTGCAAAAACCAGTAAACACGTGTGGCTATGGATGTATTATTGCAAGCACAAATCATCTACAATCTGGATTGGTATTTGGTAGGTATGGCAAAACAACATACAAACATCATATGAATTAATCTCTCTAGTTGGATGTTCGAGATTGTTCATGTTCAGCCGCTTTCCTAAGGAGGCTGCCATGCTCAAGTGCCACAAGAACTGGCGAACCGCCAATCCCTCGTGCCACGGCGAGCATGGTCTCCATCAACAGGGACTTGAACTCATGACAATCAATCACACCATTTTTATCCGCATCAAATCTCTCAAATATCGCATCATGCAGAACGTTGATCTCGTCCTTGGGCTGTGACACGTACCCTATGCCCGGCAACAGCTTACCAAACCCTGCACGGAGCTTTTCCCTCGACAAGCCTCCCTTGCCATCCGCATCAAGCGCACCGAAACATTCCTTGCTGCATTTCTCAAACGACGTCGCGTCTTCCACGAATCTGGTAACGGTCAAGTTGTTGAGGGCATGAAGAACAACAGCGCTCTTGCTCATTTTGAAACAAGAAAATTGCAGATCGGAGAAACACAGCTATAATAATGCCCAACTCTCAATCTATTTGATAAATAAAAAAATTATTCTCTGCGTTTTTTGTTTAAAGTTTGGTATATAACTCGTCACCCGTTTTCAAATCTGCTTTTATATTATGGAAGACGGTGGTTGGCCCCTAATTTTTGGGGGTGGTGCGGTTGATGTGCCTTTATTTTAGAGGTTTGGGTCACACTCAATTGATATTCCCATTAAAACCCAATGAAGTTCCACCATTACACTTGCCCAGTTGCGTGGCTTCCTGTTATTGGTAGATTCGTCCATTTCTCTTTTTTTAAATAAATTTTGTTTGAATATGTAACATTTTGAAGACGTGTTGAATTACACGGGATAAGCCAAACAAATATTAAATATTCACACAAATTCAGATTTTATGATTCAGCTCGTTTCAAATGTCGTAAGGGATTAATTTTATTTTTTTAATGTAAGCGATGGTCTAAATTATATAGGGAGGGGGGTTTCTCAAACACACTATTAAGAGCATTTCCAAGAGAGTCTAAATTTTAGCCAAATTTTAGTTAAAATAACTGAAAAGCCATTATAACAAACTACTCAAAATTAATCCCTCAAATGAGATGGATACAAAACTGAACGAGAATAGAAGTGGATCGATTTTAGGCATACAATTTTGGGGCTCAAATTTATTAGTAGGCCCAAACAAATTCAATCTCAAAGTAAGCTTAACCCAAGCCAAAATGTTTTGGGCTAAACAATTTGGTAAGGCCTAGCTTCATTTCTAAATAGGTTTAGGCACAAACCTTGAGCCCTTGACTTATGTTGACCAATATTGGTTTGCTAAGCTTAGCCAAGGAACCCAAAACCAAAAACAAAAAACAAAAAATTACCGGATATTGATAATGATGAAGAACATAGGATCCCTACTTGTGCTCCCTAACCTCCAAACATCACACATGCCCAATAAGCGCACACCAAACCAAATTCAAATTATCCATACCAAATTAGAACATGGCTTAGAAAAATTATAATGCATTTTTCAACACATTATAATTAAGGGAGTTTCACTAAAACACCCAAAATGGGGGTTGAAATTATAAAAAAACTCAAACACTATTTAAACATATAAACACACCCAAAACCCATCATTACACACACTCAAAACCCATTTATAAACACACCTAAAAAGTTGACTTTGGAGTTGATTTTGGGTGTGTTTCTATGTTTAAATAGCGCTTGGGTTTTTTTATAAATACATGTCTAGAATTGGGTTTATTTATAAATTTGTATATAATTAATATCTGTATTTAAAATAAAATAAAAGACTTAATTAATATTAGATTCCACGTGGGGCTACAACAACCCTGCCCCACCCATGCAACCTTCTTTCGTTAAATCTAATGGCTGTTAATAGTGCCGCAGATCTGTGGGCGTTTGATTGAATTTTATTCTAACTGACTTTGTATGCATGATTTTGAATAAGAGGGAGTCGTTTCGTTTTATTATCAGCAATGTTGTCACTAGAAGAATATGAGAATTGTTAAACCAATATTAAGGTTAATTATATATGACTGATTTTTATTAATCACGGAAAAAAAAAGTGTTTTTTTTAATAAATAAAAAAGGGTTGGAGGCTGAAGTACATATGCATATGTTAATCTATCTATATATATAAAGCAAAAGACAAAGAATTGTGAAACATTCAAAATACCAAAAAATGTTCTTCGTTGATGCAAACATTAAAAATTGAAATTATTAATTAAATAAAGATAATATGGTAAATTTATATTTTTTTCATATTAGAAAAAATTAAATTAAAAAAAAATCAGATAATGGATCCTATTTTGATGGAACACAACTATCCATTATCTTTTTTAATTCTAAAATAAATTAAAATAATTTTTTTAAAACCTCTAGCAGGCGCAAAAGCGCTTGCGAAGAGGCTAGTAGTTCATAGTGTAAGGAGATACATTACAGTTTAAAAATAAATAAAAAATTGATCTAGAGACACATTACAATTAGTGACCAAGGAATCGATTTTTCTTAAATTAGGAATTCCATAAAATTTATCATTCTTATACCACAAAAAATGGGTCAAAGCTAACCAATGCACATGTTCGATAGTTTGGCTTAAACTCATGTGTTAAATTGAAGCAAGAAAGTGGACTGGTTTGTATTTTGCGTTACCCTAAATTATCGAATCTGTTTGTTCTAATTTATTTTTAATATTTTTAAGCTAAAAGCTTGTGGCTTGTTGTTTTGCGGAAGCTCCAGATGAAGAATAAAAAATGAGTTAGAGATGGAAAGCGTAATTAAAAACTGGGAGCATAAATCCCAAAGTAGTTTTGGAGTCGCCCTTTCGTATATTATTGACTGTTATGTGTACGGCATTCATGGATTCAACATCAACTAGTCAAACTACGAATATTGAAATTCCTCATGTTGAATATAATATAACAGAAAAGTCATCATGCACAAAGCATCACGTAGTTAAAAGGATCTTATTCCGTCAAGGCTCTGTTTATAGACTTAATTATCTGTTACTATCGCTTTGTCTGTTTTACTCTGTTTTTTAAATTGAATTCTTTGCTCTGTTTTTTTACTCGAATTCTTTACTCTGTTTTTATACTAGTAATACATAATTAACTCTGTTTTTATATTATTATATGTGTTACTATCCTTAATAACGCTTGAATTAGATATCTAGAAAGTCATTATAGCAAACTACTTAAAAAGTGTTTTCCTCCAACAATATTCTCTATTTTGGCAATCTGTAATATTTTATTATTTCTCTCTCCTCCTCTCTAAGTAATAGGCGAGAGAGGGTTGTGAGCCTAGTAAGATAATATGAATCCTCCGAAATAGAGAGTCAGATAGCAAGTTTGCTAGAACTACATTTTCCCCCTCATTTTACCGAAGATGACTAAGTAGCAGACTATAACAACTCTATAAGCAGACAACATTTAGCTGAATTATAGAGATGTGAAGGAACGAAATAAAGATTCTGAACGCAGTGATAGAATAGTACACGGTTGTGCATAGAGACTGTACCCTCACTCCCAGGCTAACCACGTTGCCCAATCTTTTCCTTGGTTCAATCATGTTGGCTCTTTAGGAACACATGACCATCAGGATATTGTGTCTAGAGATCCAGGATCTTGAATTATATATTTTCTCCCTTTCCAGTTAAGCACAGAAATCAAACTACTTAGGTAATACCTAGCCTTCGGATTATGACACATTATTTGTACATGTGTAAGGATGTGTATGATTGTGAATCGTTGATACATGTGACGTACGCTTATGGAAGCGACTAAAGCTGATATATGTCTATAATACAGTTACCAACACTGTCCAATTGTTTTTCATGCATGGAAAGATGTAGAGGTTGACTAAACATGAAGCAAATACAGGTCGCTTCTGTTTTATATGTCCTCTTATCATATTTCAGACAGACAGAGAGACCCCAGTGTTTTTGTTGTAATTCAAACTGATATCCATTACCTTAATATTTATTTTTCTGAATAGATGATTTCTGGAATTTCATTAAGATTTTCTTTAAATTGAATTAAGAAATTAATAATAATAAACGCACACTTGCGGTTGCGGCTTCTAGTTAATCTCCAATTTTCAAATTGGGTGGCTCATGCCACTCATCATGTCTCAAGGAAAATAATGCATTTGAATGAATTGAAATCTTCCAAGTCTCAAGGAAGCTGAGCCAAGCCAACCCGCGAGGCCAATAAGCAAAGAAATAAATAAAAAAGAGTAAGTGGTAGTTTGAAAAGGATATCACAACACGAGCATATGCAGTGTAACTGTGTGGCCCTGACAAAGTCACATGAATATGAGTCCAAACTCCTACCCATGTACACTGTCTTTTCTTTTCCTATCACATTTTTCTTCTTCTTCTTCTTCTTATGAAAGTGAACCACCATCAAACTGTAAATAAAAACAATCAAATATGAATTACTGACACTTAATATTTATAAATAAAACATTGTTTGACTGGTAATTAGATTTTTAAATGGTTTAATTGTTACTATCATCTAGAATGAAGATTAACTTCCATCTTCCTCAATTAGGGAATGATGATGACATCTTGGATGCTTTTCAAAACAAAAATAATAGTTAGTGACAACTGACCATAGTTTTTGGCATAACCTTTTTTCCAAACGCATTCCTTGAAAGTCAGCAGTTTCTAATGCCAAATTAGTGCATTAAACCGTGTTATTTGGCTTAATAAAATAAGATTTTGTATTTATGTTTTTTTTAATCAAAGATTTTGTATTTATATGAAGCACAAATCATACTTGGGGTAAAAGCCTGGAGTGATAAATTGGCAGGCATGATCAGATAAAACTCAATTAACAGCATATCTACTATACTAAATAAACAATTAGAAACATAAAATTGGATGAATAAAAAATGAACGGATGAAAATTTAAATTATGCGCATACATAAAAAGTGTTATGAATTTATTTAAGTGTCGGGAAAGTAGCAAGTGTTAATAATTTCTTTTAAAAAGATTGCAAATCATTTCTCTTTCGTTTTTATGATACAAAGATGGCTAATCATTTCAATTTGTTCAACAACGCGTGTGTTTAAGTGTTCTGAATTTTCGATGGGTCGACGGTCGACCCTACCCACACAAACCAAACCAAATTAATCAAAGATGAAATTGATTCCAGTTCAGTTACGTGACAGACAGACAGCGTACGCAGTTCCGTATTTACGTATGTATGAGCAATGGTCTGGTCTGGTCCAACCCAAAACACAAGAGTATCAAGCTCAGCTCAAGTGGGGCCCTTTGTTTCTAATCAATTACTTTTTTCTTCTTTTTTGTTGTTGTTGAAAATCAGTTACTTTTACTCTCCTTAAAATTTGCACCCTTCTCCGCCGGATAAACTCACCTGAAACAAGAATAGTATTATTTTGTTAGACCAATCACAGTATGTTATGTGTGATAAATTTTTTACGTGTCAATATGTGATTAGTTGAAAATAATAAAATAATATTATTTCCGTTTCATAAAAAATTTATACCTCCACAGTAGAGAAAAAAAGTACAGAGTTTTTGGAGTTTATCAAGCAGCGAGAAAGACTTTGAGTCTTTGTTTTCTTCTATCTCTCTCTCTCCTATAATAATTTGACTTGCATATGTTTTTGTCACGTACCGTCGTGGGAGATGGGACTGGGTGTAGGTTTTGCCTTGTTTGTATTCACTCACAAGATGTGGAAAGAGTTTTACACCTGCTCCAAAACCTTGCTGTTATTCTCTTTCTCTATCTCAAATATTACATAATAATAAACAATTAATATTGTTGTTGTTGTTGAGGCAAAAATAATTTCCTTTTTCCCTTTGATCTTTTAATTTTCATCCCCTGAAGCGTTCAGAAAGCGATATTTTATGATAAAATTATAAATCGTCTCTCCATTCTGTGTGTGTTTGTGTGTCAGAAGAGAGGCAGCAATAAGGCTAATCGTAGCAAAAGCTAAAAAGAGAGCAAAAGTGAGAGATACATAATAGATTGGTTTACAGAAATGAATGGTCTTCATGAACCAGATTACTCTGACTCTGAGTTTGTTGAAGTCGATCCAACTGGGAGATATGGCAGGGTAACTAAACCTCTCTCTCTCATTATCTCTGTCTCCTCCTCTGCTTAAAGTTTGATCCTTTTTACCTGTTTTTTTGGTTGCAGTACAATGAAATCCTCGGCAAAGGAGCCTCAAAGACAGTGTATGAATTCAAGCTCTTCTATTTCTTCAAAAATCATGAAAACCCAGTTAGATTTCTCAAAACTTTGAACTAGTTTTGGGTCTTTCTGTGAGTATATGGAAATGATAACTTGATAGATTTTTTTTTATAAATATATATATTTTTTGGTGTTTTATCGTTGCAGTTACAGAGCATTTGATGAGTACGAAGGGATTGAAGTTGCTTGGAACCAGGTCAAGCTTTATGATTTCCTGCAAAGCCCTGAAGATCTTGAGAGGCTTTACTGTGAAATTCATCTCTTAAAGACATTGAAGCACAAAAACATTATGAAGTTCTACACTTCCTGGGTTGATACTGCAAACAGAAACATCAATTTTGTGACTGAAATGTTCACTTCTGGGACTCTTAAGCAGTATGTATTTTGTGAGTTTTTAATATATATATATATATATATATATAAAAATAAATAAAACAGTTTATGCTTCGTTTTTCTTCTTCCCTAAATCCATTTCTGATGTATCATCTTTTCCGGGTTTTCTTTTTATCTCTGGTAGGTACAGGCTAAAGCACAAGCGAGTTAACATCAGAGCAGTTAAGCATTGGTGTCGGCAGATCTTGGGAGGGCTTCTGTATCTACATAGTCATGATCCTCCTGTGATCCATAGAGATCTCAAGTGTGACAACATCTTTATCAATGGAAACCAAGGGGAAGTGAAGATAGGTGATCTTGGTTTAGCAGCAATCTTAAGGAAATCACATGCCGCTCACTGTGTTGGTATGTTTTGTTTCATAAATTATCATATTTAGACTGCAAATTTTGTTTCTTTGTTAATTTGTAAAGTTGGTTGGAATAAGGGAGAGTTATTTAAAGTTAATATGTGTTTAGACTTTGTTTCCTTTTTATTAAAGTAGGGACACCAGAGTTCATGGCTCCAGAGGTGTATGAAGAGGCATATAATGAGCTAGTTGACATTTATTCATTTGGGATGTGCGTTTTGGAAATGGTCACTTTTGAATATCCATATAGTGAATGCACTCATCCTGCTCAGATCTACAAGAAAGTTGTTTCTGTAAGAGGATTCTCTTTCTATTTCTCTTTCCCTTTGTTTCCAGTTGCAGGCTTTACTTTCTATAGGAAAATTGTGACATCTAGATTCCTTTCTCATGCTTTATTTCATAGGGTAAAAAACCAGATGCTTTGTACAAAGTAAAAGATCCTGAAGTACGACAATTCGTTGAGAAATGCTTGGCAACTGCATCATCAAGGCTCTCTGCAAGGGAGCTTTTGAACGACCAATTTCTCCAAATCGATGAATGTGAATATGATTTGAGACCAGTAGATTATGGCAGGCAGATAGATGACATGGGTCCTCTTTTAAGGCAGCCTCTTTTTGAGCTTCATCGAAGCAACAGTTCCTTTAGTAATGGATACTCAAATGGTTTTGGTTATGATTCCCAAAATGAATGGGGGTATCATCCTGTTGATGCCGAGTCAACTGGAATTGAACTCTTTGAGCACCATGACGACGAACATTCTGAAGATGTTGACATAAGTATTAAAGGGAAGAGAAGAGAAGATGGTGGCATCTTTTTGAGACTTAGAATTGCAGATAAAGAAGGTTGGATTGTCTTTACTCTCTTTCCAAAGTTTATATGTGGATTATTTACTTGTGGAAATTAATGTACCACTGTAAATCCTACTGCTTTGCAGGTCGTATCCGGAACATCTATTTCCCATTTGACATTGAGACAGATACAGCATTTAGTGTGGCAACCGAAATGGTTGCAGAATTGGATATCACAGATCAGGATGTAACCAGAATAGCAGATATGATTGATGGGGAAATTGCTTTGTTGGTACCCGATTGGCAGCCAGGGCCAGGAATAGTGGAAACACCCCGATATGCTAACCAAGGCTTCTGTCACAATTGTGCTTCCAATCACACCTCTAGTGGTTCCATGATGGAGTTTCTGTCAAACAACCCTAGTGCCAAGAACTTGCAAGTTCTTCAATGTTGTAAACAAGGATGTGCTTCAATGCATGGCCGTTTTGAGGAGATTACATACCAAGCCGATGAGTCTGAGCATCATGTGACAGAGGGTGCACCAAATGAATCAAGCCAATTGGATTGCCTTCATTACCAAGAAATTTGGGGACAGCACGAAAGTCGCGAACTTAGTTCAATAGGCTCTGGACAGAGTCATTCTGATGGAGAATATGAAAAATTGGATCTTTTAGTCACGGTTGAGGATGAGCAAGATCTTGAATTGGAAAGCAATCCTGCATCCCATGCAGGAAATTCTACAAAAAATTTATCCGGTTCACATTCTTTTTCTATGATCCATTCAACTTACCATGACCTCTCAGACACTCATGAGAATGAAATTCAGGAGTTTAGATGGCTCAAAGCAAAGCACCAGATGGAGCTGAGGGAACTTAGAGATCAGCAGATAAGACTTGTTTCAAAATCTTCAGATAATGGAAGAAAAGAACACGAATTAGCTAACGGGGTCTTGTCATCTTTGGTATCAAGCACATTACAAGGACTCAACAATGTGATGCTCTCAAAATCTTGCGCTTATGATCGAAGAAATTTAAGTCCCAATTTCCATGCTAATCTCAATAAGAACTGCGAGGCAATGGAGTCTCCTAATGCTGAGGATGAGGTCACTGGCAAGAGTTTCTGCACAGGATCATTGCTTCCTCAGTCTCTTCGCAGGACAGTTTCTCTCCCAGTTGATGCAGTTGATGTATAAACTTGCAAGGCACAAAATGTATTCTTACCAGTAGATGCAGTTGATGTATAAAATGCAGTTGGGGGGAAAATGCAAGTTTTGAGGCCTATAAAGATGCTAGTCGAGTCCTTAATATTACACATCAACTGCTTACCTTAGATGAGCATTGTTTTGCTATCACCGGCCAATAATGCAATGACATGTAGAAAAGTTACTCCTCGTGTCATTGTACTATTGGCTGGGGCTATCCTTGCATGAAAGTCTCTCTCTTTAGATAGAGCATCGGAACTCCCAAAGGCATGTATTTTGTTGGGTGATCTTCGGCTTTTGAGTCTCTTGATTGAGAGGGATGAAAATTGAAAAGTGATGATGAATTGAATTATTGGCATGTCTGGTGCTGGCCAATGGGAGGCTTTATCAGGACTTTTTGCTATGCTTCTTGTAGGACCCCCTTCAACAGATGTCAATTATGGAGTGGTTTTTTCAAAGAGGATGAATTGCTTGGCCCACGAAAACAAATCATGTTCCATGTTGGCATGTTCCATGTTCCATGCATGCTGATCTACTTAGAATCTGCTTGCCCATATCACCAAAAAAATAAATAAATTGAAACTGGATCCTTTAATATGAGGAGGGTCCGTTGGTCCACATACAAACTTTGCTGAGGGTGAAAGGGACACCAAAGCTAATCTAAGTCGCATAAAAGCTGTAAAGCCACTGGGCTACCAAACCATATCTTCATCTTGTGCCAAAAACTTGTACCCAAGTTGTACTCTTTGTGGAAGTGCGCTTTAATTTTCAGGGTCAAAACTGGAACCAGAGAGAACATCATTTCTTTTTTCTCCTCTTCTTTTCCTTTCTTTCTTGGTTTGTAAAAGTGGGTAGCAAAGTGGACGCCAACTAGTCTTTTGTTTTTTTTATTATATATATATATATTGCTATTGCATGCTGGCTTGGGGTGTTGAATTCAGACCAACTCAAATGGTTTTAAAAATTGCAACTTTATTGGAAAATCCACACCAATATAGATCATGGATGCGTGCGTGAAGTCTTCGATATACATCAGAATCAAGAAAAACAAAAAGCACTTTGGGTTACCTTACCTAATAGATTAATTAGTAATGTGGGGGGATTGGATGATCTTATAAAAATAAGTAAAAACTTAAGAAAAAATCAGATTGTTTAGGCAGCACTAATCACAATCACGACTTTTTTAAGTTTTAAAACCAGATAATGATGACAAAAAAATCTGCGCAACTTTCTGATAATTTGACACCAAATAAGGGATAAAATCCAAATCGACTTTCTGGCCAGATATGGTTAATAAATATACTTGATAGTTCCTAGACAACGAAAGCCACTTGCATGCGACCCATTGCCCATCCCTCATAAACAAATCAATGAGATATTTTGTTTTTCTTCTTCTTGTTCATCTCTTTGGGTGCCGAGCAATCAAATGCGTGCTGTGACTATGATTTATCAAAGTGTAGTGGAGGAGAGTTGAATACTTGAAAGTGATGAAGGGTAAAGAGAGCCTCTTTTGAATGATTGGAAGGGTTGCTTGCTTACTACCTTTCTCACTTAAAATAATGCCATGATGTAAACTTGGCTGAGTTGATGTTGAGTGCCATGATGTAAACTTGGCTGAGTTGATTTTGAGTTTGCTTTGCGAAAATGGGAATTTTTATTTTTAATAGAAGTGAAATAAATAAGTTTAATTTAATTAATAAGGAGAGTTTCGAACTTGAGTGCAAAGAGACGGGTTCCTTGCTCAAATCTATAAGGTGAGAATTTTTTAAATCATGAAAAATATTTTTTTAACCACCTTATTTTAATAAATTGTTTTCACCAAAAAAGTGTTGGTGGGATGGGAAGACAGCTACCTGCTAAAATATTCCCATTTTGAATGAAAAAAGCATGAGAGGAACACAAGGTTTTCACTCAAATATTGTCATAAAGAAATTTCGTAGCCAGCCTTTACTCAGTCTTTTGAAACGTATATTGTGAGCTCTCTTATAAATGGGATTGCAGACCCACAAAAGCAATTTGGAGCTTTTGGGAAAGTGGAATATATTCTTATTTCCTATATCTCATACCAAAAATGTGTGATTTAATGGGAAATAAATGAATAAAAGACAGAATGTTTTTTTCTTGAAACTAGCCACAGTTGAAGTAAAATGAGTGTACACAAAGACTTGAATATATAACATATGTATTCCATTTGACAAGTTGCAGAGCTTGGTTGAAACTTGAAAGTGGTAAGTAAATATTCCATTTTCTAAGGGTGCGTTTGATAACCATTTTAATTTTAGTTTTTATTTTTTGTGTTAAAAGTATAGAGGAATAAGAGGGAGAATGAAAGTGAGAATGAGAGTGGATATGAGATTTCGAGGGAAGATGAGAGGGGAGGATGGGAGGGAGGAGTAACAAAAGTGAAAACAAAAACTAAAAACTAAAATCTAATTGAAATTATTTTCACTTTTGTTACACCTCTCCCCATCCTCCCCTTTCATCATCTCTCAATCTCATACTCACTCTCATTTTTCTCTATACACTAGCACAACAAATGAAAACTAAAATGATTATCAAACGTCTGTGAGTAAATTTGCTGCATCATGTTCCTGTAAATGTAACTTTCTGTGGTAGATTTCAGAATATGACTTCCACTTTGTGGGTTGGCAGAAGACACCATTATCATTGATACAATGGGTTCATGAATGAAGGGGATTATAAACTATAATATTATTGGAGTTGGACCACTTGGTAACTTTGCCCAACTTGAATGGACCCAAGCTCCAATCCAGTCTCTGTCTAACGTCAATTTATCTCTTGAGGACCTCAGCCCATTGAAAAAACAATGACAAAATTTTGCGGCTAAAAAGCTAGAGAGTTGAAACTTCTCTGCCGAAAGTCATCCATTCTTAAGGAATGTTAGGCAAACTCCAGGATAACTGATACGACTAGTTTTGAAGCTCAGTTCAAACCTCGTTACATCCTTGTCATAATCCTAACCAGATGTAACTAGTAACCGAGCCGCACCATTACAAGGAACTGTTGTTGCTTGATTTACTTACTAATTTATTCAGAACCTTCTCCTTCCAAAGAAAAAAAAAGAGCGTTGCTCTATTGTCCACTTACACTCCCTTTCGTTTTTTGATACTTTTGTAATTACCACTACAAAAGAGTGTAAGTGGACAAAAGAAGAGTGGGGAAATCAAGAGCAAAAGATATCAGGTCAAAGTCAAACCAAAAGATTAGAGCCTATTCGTTTGAGTTAACTAGTATTCATTATATAAGAAACTTGCTAATTATTATATCTGGCCAGCTACGTATGTAGTCTACCTGTAGTTTTTGTTGTATTAAATTTGCTGCAGTACATCTCTATTACACGAATGATTGTAGTTTATGCGAGGAAACTCTATACTAAATATAGAAACCTTTGTATAAAAGTTGTATAATACAAAAAACACAATTTCTTAGATATTCAGTATTTCTGTACACCATAGATATACCCTAGTTAAGTGGACGTTCATCCAATATGCAGTCCGGTTCATACCTCTTGAAGCATAGTGCAGGGTGGCCAGAATGTTCTCTCATAAAGGCCTCAGAAGCGGGTAATCTTCAAGTAGTTCCCGCTCCGACAGAGTGTCAGTTTCATTCTGAGGAGTCCACAACACCTCTACTGCCTGCAGGAAAAAGAACAATATTATATGTATCAAGCAAAAATAGAAAAAGAGAAACTTACAACTTCCACGTCAAAGTAGACATTTTTCTCTTACTAATATTTTGTTTGAGGGAATGGATCCAAGCTTTTGCAACGCTTCCTTCAAGTCGCCACTACCATTGATGGTGGGCAACTTATGCACTCCTTCAGCAGCCACCAATATCGTTATCTGATTGAAATTCGGTCAGAAAAGAGAGTGATACAAACATTTCTATTTCCTAAAACAATCCTGAAACTAGCCAACTCAATTACGAAATTTTGTCTCATTCCTCAAAGACTAGAAGAGAAGTGAAACTAAACCATGTCAGATTTATAATAGAAGCATGACAATCACTTCTCACATTAACACAGTATAAGTCATCAATAGTACCAAAATGGAAAGACTACAAAAAGAAAAATTGATGTAGTCCAAAGATGAGGTCGAGAAATGTTTATAACTCCTCTGCAAATTAGGCCAATTAAATTAGGCATCTCACTGTTTCTAAAGCATGGCAAAAAGGCTTTCCTTATCACAATTGACCAAAGAGTGCTAAACTCTATAACACAATGCTTACATTTGAAAACACTGATTTTTCTAGAACATTTGAAATGTAACCTGTAAATGAACAACATACGTTTGTACTTCAGTAAATGAATAAAAATTGGGAATGTGTATTATCATAGGCCATCCCAACTCGATCTTACCACTATATATTCATTGCGGAATCCATTAGCTCTCTGGCTTGATGAGCTTTGCCTTTTTATGTTGTTCACATTGACAAGTGTCTCTTCGTCAAATTTACCCCTTTCTTCGATGGAAAGCTGATTAAAGCGTTTTTCTGCATCCTCTATGCCTCGCTTTTGAGCAACCTACAAGTATGCCAGAAGTTATAGTTCATGTTCATACAACCAAACATGTGCAACAGAAATCTAAGCGCAGCTATGGTTTTGATCTTTAAAAAGTTAGCATGTGCTGTTTGGGTTGATGAGTAGTTGTCAGTGCCATATATTATCTCATAAGTTGTTAGTATAATTGTTTTAAGAGAGAGGAATTCTCTTGAATTATTATTATCTCTTCCTAATGGTAGGCAACAACACTGATGCACTAAACTGCAATCGTTCACGTGCGTAGATTAACCAAGTAATCCAGAGGATGATATTGAACTTACAGATGAATAACCTGAGATGCAATAATCAGGATGCCGAAGCAAAGCTAGTGTTGTCTCTGCAAAGAAATGTGTAGTAAAAATTGCATCAGAATACCTAAAAGAAACAAAATAAAACATACAACACAGTAGCAGGGTATTTTGTACATGGTATAAAACCCAATCCTAAAACCTCAGTTGCAGTACGCGTTTCTGTGTGTTCACCTGTCAAAACATATCCCAAACCCTCAGAGGTAGAAGGATCTGCAGTTTCAGCAATCCGATTAAGATCCCTTTGAAGTGCTCGCCCCATGCCTAACAAACCAACCTTAGAGAAGGGGACAAAATGATGGTGAAACTATCAGATTGAAATCCAACAGAAGAGTCTACAAAGTTCATATCACATTTCTAAAATATAAGCCTAGTGGAATAAGAACATAAAATATCAAACAATCAACTCTTCCTTAACAAGTGCCAACCACAAAAGAAAAAAGCTCCACCTTTTGCTGCTTCAGCACAAAAATATTAGTTCTACAACCAACCCATCCACAAGCTAATTGAAGGAAATCTATTTGCAATAGAAACTAGATTGAATGCCAAGCAGGGACAACAAGTCAACAAACAATTGATTGGATCATATGTATGAAAAGCTCTAATTTTACAAGAAAATGAGTTTCGGAATTTGAAACTACATGGCAGCAGCACTGATATTATCAACATTAAGAAAGCATTCTGAAAAATTCATTGCCTTGTGACAATTATAATTTATAAGCATTCAATCACTCAAATATGTATAAAATTAGTCAACAAAATAAAGAATGAGAATTCCGCCATACCTGAAGCTTGAGAACACTTGTTTTCTCGGTAGCAGTAAGCACACTACCCTCGGACCGATCCGAGAGGAACCCCGAAACCAAAACAAACGCAGCGAAACCCGTCAAGATCAGAAAGAAACTCGACCCGGCACCCACTCCGAACCCAAATGCTGGCCCAACGTAAACCCCACCACCCCCACCACTGAACCCGAACGGCGAAGGCGCGTAGTAAGGCGCTGAGTACGAAAAATCGGGTCTTGAACTTGAAGTCCTCGGCACCGAGTAGCTCCTCGACGACGACGACGAAGAAGACGACCGCGACGAGAACGAGCTCCCCCCGACCCGCCCTCCCGAGGCGGCCAATGCCGAATTCGGGTCGGACATCAATAACAGACCCAATAAAACGGCAGCCATTGCCGGCTTTCTCAACGCCTTGAGAGCATTTAATAGTTTACTGGCGATAAGCTCAAGCGGGTTTGCTGGGTTATCTTTGATAGCAAGGGGCATAGACTGAGTGTGATCAAGGTCTGGTTTTGAGTCGGTTGAGTGCTTGAAGCATTTGACCTTGAAATTACAGGAAGCTTGTTCAACGTCGAAGGTTGAGCTGAATTTGATTGGCTTGGTGGGCAGAGGACGAAGAGGAGGCAAGAGAAATGGGCAGCTGCTATGCGTCCATTTCAATGGGTTGGGTTGGAGCAACGAAGCAGTTGCCATGAAAATTTGCTTCGAGTGTTTTGGAATTGAAGGAATGTGAAGGTGTGGACGATGTATGCTTTGTTTTGAGAAATCAAATCAAATTGGGAAGTTGTTGTGGCCGCTGGCTAAGCAGCTGTCGTCTCGTCCCTTCGATTGGTTCAATCTCAGCCTCATCTTCGTCGTCTCTTTTCTCAAGAACTCATGAAGATAGATGTGCTGGGCACGTGACTTCCACTGAGTCAATGACCCGAATTCAGAATCCGCCCCGAATTAATCAGGGAATTTGGGCCTAGTCCAGAAAGATTTGAACGTAGTTTGGCCCAAACCAAAAGCGACCCAAAGCTTTCGTCCTCCTTCAAAACCCTAATCCAATAAAAGCTAACTTTTCTTTCTCCCTTACCCTCTCTGCCTCAGCTGCTGCTTCTGCATTTCCGCCTCATTGCCCTCTGGTTAGGTATCTTCCATTCCTAGGCTAAGCCTATCAAAACCAACCATGGCGGACAAGGCAGTCACCATCCGTACCAGGAAGTTCATGACCAACAGGCTTCTCTCTCGCAAGCAATTCGTGAGTACCTCCCTACTTTCTTATTTTCTTTCTTTGGTATACAACCTAAAACTAAATAGTTTAAGTCTTTGGTGTTTCAATGCGGTTTTGGATTTCATGTTTATTTTTATGCGCCATTGCTCTACTCTAGTATTATTTTTTGTCAGATCTCTTGGTTTTCTGAACTTCTTTTTATTTTGGATTTGAGAGGGTTTAGTCGAAAAGTGCGTTGAAAATGATTTATGGGATGTTGGTGTTGTCAACTTTCCCTCGTTAATCTTCTTACGGGTTTAATTGTAATGCCTCTGTTGCTTTTGTTCCCGTAGGTCATTGATGTTCTTCATCCAGGCAGGCCAAATGTTTCCAAGGTATTGTTGTTTTTCTTTTCAAATTTAAGCTTTTACATAATTGCCTTCAATATTGTTTGAACTTTATCGACAATATATTTGTCATTTGAATTTTTGTCTCATAAAAAATAGCAATAATGTGAATTATGCACTTGCTCAGTAATTAAATGTATTGGTTTTTCGGTTTTGTGAAGGCTGAGCTGAAGGAGAAGCTAGCTAGACTCTATGAGGTTAAGGACCCGAATTCAATCTTTGTTTTCAAGTTCCGGACTCACTTTGGTGGTGGTAAATCTACTGGATTTGGATTGATTTATGATTCTGTCGAAAATGCAAAGAAGTACGAGCCCAAGTACAGGTTGATCAGGGTAAGTCCAGAGTTGTATAATAAGTTCATCTAAGGTTTTCCTTTTTGGTCTTTTCATGTTTTAGCTCAACACTAGGACATTGCCACTGCTAGAACTGTAGCTAGCCCTGCTGAAGTGATTGTGATTATCACCTGAGTAACTCCTAGGTTGAATTAACTTAAGCCAAGTTGGTAAGAACTGTAGAGATGTTGATTGTTCATACTATGATATGCCTTTTTGTTTTAGTTTCTGTTGTTCATCCAATTTAAAGTATTATCAGTTTTTGTTTATTTATTTTCCCTAAATAAATAGTCTTTCTCAGAACATTGCTTGATGATTGGTTAGTTGCAGTCAGATAATCTCGTTTAATTGGATTTTAAGGATTTACATGTATTATAATTTTATAAAGCCGATCACAGATTGTTAGTTGGTGGTCCTTTGTGTTTATTAGTTGTTTTTGCATTTTTTTGGCATGTGGTAGTAGTTGAGCATGAGTTAATACTTATATCTATTGTTTTGCTAAACTAAGCTTGGCGAGCAAGATTAGATTTATGTGTCTTATTATTAGTAATAATCTCCGACCCTTTTATTTCCATCTCTTCTTGATCGTTTTCATAGTTTGTTAGTGTATTCATACCACTGAATGTTTTTTATACGGCAGAATGGACTTGATACTAAGATAGAGAAGTCGAGAAAGCAGTTGAAGGAAAGGAAGAACAGAGCCAAAAAGATCAGAGGAGTAAAGAAGGTGAGAGAGTTGCTTATATTATTTGCTTGCGTGATTATAGTTTGATTTCAGTACCTCGGTTACAATTATTTGGTTCTTTTTGCGCAGACCAAGGCTTCAGATGCTGCCAAGGCTGGAAAGAAGAAATGAGTCTCAGTAGTTTTGGTGCTGTTTTTTACAGCCCATAGCAGCAATGGGCTTTCCTTAAATATGTTTTGCCTTTAGGTGCGTTTGAAATGAAGCTTCATTTAGTGTCATTGTGGGTTTTAGAGAGCCAGCGGCTGTTTAGGTTTTTTTTCTTCTTTTTGTTCTTGCAAAATTTCAGTATTCTGAAATGGACAAATTTAGAATATTGAGTAGCAACAGATTTCAGATTATTTATTGACTTCCATCATTTAGTTGTGATTCTTGCCAATACTAGCGTAGCAATTGAATGTGATGTTTCCACGGGATGATTGCCAAAATGCAGATGCTTCTTAATCTTATTAATAAACATCTATTTAATCGGGTATGTAAAAAGCTCTTTGATTAAAAATTCTAATTCACTAGTTTTTAGACTTTACGCATTGAATTACTAATCTAATTCAACAGATAGTTTGAGCAACCAAGTCGAATCAGGCTTTGAATTTTTCAACTTGTTCACAGGACCTCACGAGCCTTCCCGCAATACTTATTGATGAATTTATATTTAGCCTTTGATATGTCAGGAGTTTCTGGAGATTGCATGGGGTAGAACTTATAAATCCTCATATTTTCAAAACCCTCCTCTGCCTCTGGAGCTGCTTGAACACTAGTAGTTTTTCTCATGGCTTGTCTAAATTCCCGTTGATGCTTTCCCTTTGCTTCATATAGTTTGTCCAGGACATATTCCTTCAAGCCAGCCTTCACAACTGGAGATAATTCGTTATCGTCTTTTAACTCATCTATGATGGTCTTGGCAACTCCATCTATCTCGCGCTCTACCCAGCACCAATGATCTTCTTCCTTGTGATTCAAGTAAGGCATGTAGTGTTGAAGTTTCATGGAACCTTCTTCCTTCAAGGGTTTCAAAGCAGCCCTACTCTGAGTGCTGCCCAACACAAATACTTGAGCAGATTTCATCACTCTCTCAGCTTCTTGGGCGTCTCTCTTCTTGTCCGGAGGAATATATGGAACCCAATCCATGTGCAACTGTTTCATTGGAACTCTGGTTTCTTCACCATTTCCTTGGCTATCAAATGGTTTGATGCTCAGTTCATAGGCAGGCCGGGAAGGCGATACAATGGCCACCACCACAGGGACTGTAATTTCTTCTTCAGAGCTTCTATGGATATGGCATTCGATTGTGCCGAATAGATACACTTTGTTGCTATCCTTGCCGATGATCTCTTGATGGAGCTTTCCTCCCTCTTCCAATGCTTGTTGCAGATTGGTGAAATCCCACTTGAATTTGTTGTGCACAGCCTCCATTTTGTCCCAACCTGTCCCAACAGGAAACGCAGCCTTCCATAGCTCTTCCAGTTTTCGGGGCTCCTCCGGGGACTCAGGTTTGGGGCTGGGCTCGGGCTCGACTGCCTTGACCCGCTTTCGCAATGGCTGAGTGTCTGCCGGCTTCTGGCTGGCCTCTATTTCCATCTGTCTAACCTTCCTCTTTGCTCCTCCTTTCCTCATTGTAATGATAATTCTATGAGAAAGGAAAAACGAAAGACTCAGAGAAGAGATGGAGAGACAGAGAGAAAGAGCAAATAGAGAAATTGACAGTGTTGTTTAAGCCACCGTTTAATATATTTATAGGAGAGTGAGTGGAGTAGAAAATCTTCCTAATTCAAGTAGCAGTTTTCCTCGTCAGTTTTGGAAAACTTTCCTAATTCAAGTAGCGTCCAAATCTTAAATACCTCATGCCCAGCACCAAACCAATCATATCAATTAGAAACCCACCCAATTTGAATTTACTATTGGTCTTCAGAAGCAATTCATTCGAAAACCCAAAGGGCCGAAAGGGAACCAAACTAGGCCCAAAAGTTGGCCCAAAGCCCAATAGAAAGTCAACGAAAGTAGACTAACAAGATTCCCTTTATGCACTCGCATTCACACCTCGACATGTCGTGTCTTTGTTTCTCTATTTTTGTTCATACTCATTTTCCGTTATCTCCAGTCTCTTTCCTTCTCGCTCTTTACCAACAGCTATTATTATTTTTGTCCAAAAAATTAAACAACTATATATGTAAAAATAAATACATATAAAAATAATAACATTAATTAACTGGTGGACCAGGTCATCTCAATTCTCATCGCGCTTTCTTTCTTCCTTTCACGTTTCCCTGTTCTCTATATTTTATCCTCCTCACACCCCATTTCTTGACTATCCCAATTCAGTTCCTCATTCTTTTGATCTTTCTTTCTTCTTTCATACATCTCCAATTCCCGTCATGGCGGATGCTAATGGTTTGTGTCTTTGACCCCATTTCTATTTTTATACTCTTTTGCTCTTCTTTTCTGTTCGTTTACTTTCTTGGCTATTATTATCAGATCATTTATATTTATTTACCCATTTTTTTTTTTTTTTTTTTTTTTTTTTTTTTTTTTTTTTTGGGTGTGCGTGTGTGAATTGAGTATGCGCTTGTGCCATGGTTTTGCTCATTTACTGTCTGTGACTTTTGACTGAATTTTTATTTCTAAGGCTAGGTGCGTTTCCTGTTCTGATTCTCATATTTGTTTCTGGGTAAGTCCAGATTTGTTTGTATCACCATTTCCATGAAAATTATAATATTTTATATTCTGGTGCCCCTTGCAACTTGTAAGTGTTTTTGACTAGGACTTGCCTTGATTTTAGCTCAAGAAAGTAGAAAAGTAACTTGGATGTGTTGCAAACACTGAATTCAAGCTATTTAACTACTAACATTGATTTAAATCCCTAGATTTGAGATCCCATATTCCAATTTGTAGCATTCTAATGCTCCACCAACCATCCCTTACACACAACTTAATCTATCATGTAGCTGCTTCAAAGCAAATTGATTAAAAATGTCAAAAATTTGCATTTTCTTCTCAAAATCTTGTAGATACATGTCTTTTATCTTATCCAGTAGTGGTGGCAAGACATTTAGTCCCGAAGTAGGAATCGTTTTGTGCCCTTGACTGCAATGTGAATTGGAGCAACCATGAATTACGGTTCTCCTTTTCCTTTGAAGACCTGTGAATCTCTCTTCAGTTGTACTTTTACAAGATGATCTTATGCTTTCATTTAGAATTTGTGTGCATTCAATCCTAATTTGTTTGATTTATTAAATTTTCTTTCTCGTGTTCACCCATATATATATATTATTATTTTTTTCCTTTTCAGCGAAATTCTAGGATAAGTGTGTATAAATTGGAAGCATAAACTTGGTTGGAGCCTTGATTGGATAAAATGTTATTTCCTTTACATTGTTATTGCGAGTGCATATAATTTAAGTCATTGCACTTCTATTGTATATTAATAGGAAATTTCAAAGTGTGGTTTGAAATGTTGGTATTTGTTATATGCATATGGGAACTTTGGATGCTTTGCTTAATAATAGTTACCCCTCCTCCATTGATAGTGGTGGAAGCGAACGATGGAACCATTTCTGTGGCTTCTGCATTTGCTGCTCATCAACAAGGTAACACCAAACTCTTCTTTTGTCTCGTTACCATTTCCCTTCCCCAATGTGCAGTGAAGATTACTATATAAATAGTCAATAATACACTTTAGGCAGTTGGGCGAAGAACTTAAATAAATGGTCTATATAAACCCACAAAAGGTGCACTCGAGATGAGCATGGCAGTTTTTGGTGCTGTGAGTTTTTATGTCCCTGTTTTAATTATTTTGTTGATATTCAATTTGTGAAATCTGGCAAATGAAGTAATATATTATATTTACTTATTCGCCTTGTCAGAAAAGGTGTACTTTGCACCAGATATGGTCTTCATAATTATCATGCTTTGCTTTTTGTTTTATTTTTCAACCAGTTGTACAGGATAGAGACCACAAATTCTTAACAGAAGCAGTTGGAGAAGCTTATAAGGGAGTTGAATGTGGAGATGGAGGGCCATTTGGCGCAGTTGTTGTTCGTAATGATGAAATAGTTGTCAGCTGTCACAACATGGTTTTGAAAAACACTGATCCGACTGCCCATGCAGAGGTTACTGCCATAAGAGAGGTTCGACTATTAAATTACTACATTGCCTCATGAGGGTGGTTTTGCTTACTGAAAACATGGTGGTAATAATGCCAAAATGGTTAGATCCTTCCTAGCGTGTGTACACATAGACACACTCATGCATATTGGTTTAGGGAAGACTTAAATGTCATTTTTGTTTAGTCTTTATAATAAAGTGAGCTTGAAAGTTTCTTGTAAATACCATCTTATTGGTACTCTTTTTTTCTGATGCTTAATGTTATCACTTGGGAGCACTTGATGTCGAGAGGGACAATGTTACTGTAACAGAAGAACTGAGGATACACACACACACACACACAAAAGGTTTTTATGTTCCGTATGGTCATTGTAGAGTTGAAAGCATGATGAGTATGTATATAGATCTTAGCAAAGATGTTTCCAAAATCATATCCCATTGTTTTCAGTTTCTACTAGTTTTAGTTATCCTCCCCCCCCCCTGTTCTTTATTTGATATTAAATTTCTGTCATGCTTTATATCTTGTGCCTCCAAACGCTTTTCGGATTTCATGCTCGGGATAAAAAATTTCCACAGGCCTGTAAGAAGCTCAATCAGATAGAGCTCGCAGACTGCGAAATATATGCATCTTGTGAGCCATGCCCAATGTGCTTTGGTGCTATTCATCTTTCAAGACTAAAGGTCCAATTTTCAAACCTTTTAGCTTCCGCGTAGTAATGAGTGGATCACATTGCTATTAGGTTTCCATAATTTGTCGTGCTCTTTCTGAACAGAGGTTGGTGTATGGAGCTAAAGCTGAAGCAGCGATAGCAATTGGGTTTGATGATTTCATTGCGGATGCACTAAGGGGCACTGCATATTATCAAAAAGCTCACTTGGAGATCAAGAAAGCTGATGGTAACGGTGCTGTTATTGCTGAACAAGTATTTGAGAAAACAAAGGCGAAATTTCCCATGTATTGATTTTCGTGATTCCCTTAATGGTGAAAATTCCACCATAACTGATTGAAGACT